TTTGGTCTTCTATTACTCAGCGACCACCTAAATTAGCTGGGTGTCCTGAACTACTAAGCATTATTATTGAGAGGTAAGTCGTCCTTCTTATTCCCGGATGGGTAAACACTCACAATAACTCTCACATTAATAGATTTTAGTCTGTCACGATTGACAGAATTAGTTAAAGTATGAAGTATGGGCGAGTTAGGTAATTTAGCAACAAAATATATAAGAATTATCAGACTTCACTGGGAAAAGTTAATGTGACGCCGAACAAAACAAATTACTGTGTATGGTCGCGCCGTTATATTTTCTAGTTCGAATATTGATTGGTTCGTCTGTAATCCCCTGTTGGGCTGATGACCTCTAGTTTTTTCAAATCACACAAACTAATACACAAGAACCAAGACCTTAACGCTTACTTTAACCCAGTGTCTAATGAAATGAAGACCGAAAATAAATAGTTAGCTACTGTATTGTATTCAATCTAGACTCAAAACTCACAATAATATGCCTAAAATGACTGACTTCACAAGCAGAAAACTACGACGTATACATAGCTTAGTCATAAGTGATACAAAACCGTAGTGCTAGGGAAATAATTCATTGATGAACAATAAGACATAGCAGCGATTTATAGGTCAACGTAAAGTTCAGAAATAGGCATATATAGGAACACAAAGATCCAAACGTTCACTAAGTATACAATAAAAGTATAAGTAATAATCCTCCGTATGATAGTCCCAAAAAATATACTTTCACACTACTCTCCCCGTTATTTCGAAAGCGAGTAGTGTTTGTCTAGATATTTTAGTTTCTAATTAAGAACGATCATGTCAATACATATGATTCAAGAACTAGTTGATGGGATGTAGTTACAAATTACTAGTAATAGTCACTGTTCTGTGATGCCGATTTAGCTATTTTTGTTCATTTAACAACTTGGCAAACTTTTGATAACTAAGGTATATTGCACATACCTTCCACACAAGCTACCTAATTGTTGAAGCACTTGATAATAGTGTGGCTCAGAGCTGAGTTGATGAACTTTACTTGGTAAACTGTTTATAAAGCTACACTAAACCATGTTAGTGGTAATCAAAATATCGCCTAGAAAAAGATAAGATGTTCACTGCGTTCTTAAATATTAAAGACACGACATTCAGAGAATCAATCTGCTTTCGCCGAATTCCTCGCCAAGTCGTACAGTCGTATATACATAGTGGGAGGGAAAGGATGAGAGAAGGTTCAACTCCATGCCTGCTTCTGTACGATAAGGTACATAAACAGTCAACACCAGCTTTCGGCATTAATAGGACATGTCAAAGCTTGGTCTTGCAACAACCCGAGTAAATCAATTAGGCATTTTATCCTCGGACACTTAATAAACTGTTACCACTCAACTGACTTACATATTGTTTATAGAATCCGTTCAAATCTACCAAGACTTCGTATCCAATTTTTTAAAACAGTAGATGTTCCTTCTGTTCATGGGATGAAGTCTGAACATTGTGTACAAAAAAAGCATATCTTGTTTTTGTCTTTATTGTGGCCTTGACCTGTTATTTACATTTAATCGATTTTCCATTCGAAAATACCACTCATTCTCCAATTAGTCCCCATATCTATAATTTTATTCGAAATCGTTTCTCATACCACTTCACTTACTATCCCTAACACCATTAGTTGTGACAAAAACCTCCTATCTTACTTTATTCACACTATCATCCAATATGATTACGTTTGCACCCCTTTATTTGTGCTAATTCTGTGAAAGATACACACCCGCGTGTTGTTATCATTTACACTAGTATTCAAATATTCATATTACATTATCATGTTTATTCATTGTTCATGCTTCCTCATAGAGTTGAGCATTCACAAAATTGCTTTTCCGAATATCTTCACGGAGTTTTGTTTAAAATCCTTTTCGATTAATAGGATTTTCGATTAGCGTTTGGACTTTCAGCTACTACTTCATACCCTGTAAAAGTGTTAGTCATTACCTTACTCAGCTAGTAGAATCTACCTCAGTTATTCTTAAAGTAATGAACTAGAAATATTCAAGGTGCTTTAGAATAGTTGATAAATTGCTCTAATTGAAAATAACCTTTTTCATTACTTCGCTTTTCAGAGCGATAAATTAAAGTACGAAATGTTGATATAGGCACAGAAATTTGAATTGGTTTCTGCGTGGTTTATTCTTATATTGTCATATGGAGCCCGTTACATCTTTTAATTTACAGCAACATTTGCATATATACCTTAGATCCCTTTAATAATGTAATAATTGGTCAATAATGTCACCTCAAACTTGCTAAAGTATCTCTACTTATGATGCCTTTACAGAAACCTACATAAATGACGTTTTGCTCAAGCGCGTGCAATGAAAGAAGCCACTTCAGGGCTACAATTATTTGAAACATCGTTTGCTATTTATGTTTTTACTTAATATAGTTTACTCATCATGATAAGATATCGAACTAGGTTATTTCGGAACTAAGTTTTCTTATTTTTGACCCTTCTCTTTTTTCAGTGGTTGGGCTGTAAACCCCATGATTCGACCTACAATGTTCCAACTGAGCAGATGTTTGACTTCTATAATTGAACAAATATTTCCAGTAGATAGCATTATCCAAGGTGTTGATATCCCTGATGACTGTTTAAACTTTTTAAAGAAATTGTAGCATAATGCACCTTAAAAGTGTATATAGTTTGAGACAATGTTCCCTGTTTTCCTAAACTTCCAAGTACATGTGAAATAATCTTACAGTATCCGTTTGGTTAGCTGTTTATCATTCGTTGGAAGACTTCACTAACCGTACAGTTCTATTCCAATATATGTACTTTTAATATTCCGTATTGTGTAAACTATTTTTTATTCCTAACCCAAGTTGATTTTCTATACTATAAACTGGTTTAGGTCAGTTGTGTTTAGTTGAAATACAGATCAACTTACCAAGTGTTTCACCTGTAGAACCATAACAATTGCAGTTATTTTAAGTGCCGTTAGTGAATATCTCGAATTGTTTCACTAACATTTAGCTAAACGCCTTCATCCTCATAGCTTTTATTTCTCGTCCTTCATGCTTTTAAGTACTACCCACTTGGAGATTTATTTGGTTACGAATACTTACCTTCCTGGGTATATAAACTATACCGCATTTACGCTATTCTAACATGTTTCAATTAAACCTTACTAAACTTGTTTATATCTATTATCATTGTCCGATTACGAGGAAATTTATATCCTGACTAGATTTTCGCCACATTGTAAAGTTCTTGTAGTTCAGCGTGAACATACTTTTAGTTATTTAATTTGAAGATTTAATATGACGAACTAATAGTGTGTAATCAAACTGAGTTACATTATCCTAGTTTTCGACACCTTTCAGCAGGAGAGAGAATCACAAAATAAAAGAAAGCTTACTTCATTGTGAATAATTTACACTATCCCTCTCTAAAATTCGAAAACCGCCTCCTATCATTTTAACTATACTGTTCAACTTAATCCTGAAGATACTAAATCCCCAGACACTATATTTAGGAAAAATCAAATCCGTTTCTTGACTTTCAATGTGCATTCATTTGCATCGCTTTATTGAATGTGTAGTTAGTTAAATGATTTTAAGGCATTTTCATTGTATTCATAAATTTACTCCTGTTTTGTGCAAACTGATGATTACTCAATCCGATAAATTTTTGGAATGGATCACTGGATTAATTGACGTGTAACTGAGTAGACTTGGATGTGATTAGATTCTCTTGGGATACCCATCAATACATATTCCTTACAATACTACTCTACTGTCTTATCAGAAGTCTTAATGCTACAAGTTCCCATCCGAAAAACCGAGTAGGGTCTTACACAACTCACTCCTGAACATTGTAAACACTAGCTGCACATATACATCATGGCACTATTGTCTCAATTATTGTATATCTAAGTGTGAACTCAATCACATCAAGCAATAGTAACACTCCTTACTTTTTCTGCTTTGATTTGAGTACATCCGCGCGATGGCAAAATTATGCTCCTCATTGACTTAACGTGTTTGGGGTCAAATCCTAACTTAACAATACCAGCAGCTTTTTGATAGAAAGCTGAAAATTTAACGTCTGGTAGTGAAATCGTTGTGTTTACCGTACACGAGAAAAGCGACAGTACTAAGTATCGCATAGATCATCATCATTAAAGATGATCTATTTCCAAGTAACGATTAAGCCTAAAAATGGTAGGCACGGCTCATTATTTAGATAAGTGAGGACTTGAAAGAAACTGTTTCTAGTCTTACAAGTGGAGACATAACTTAGCGTCTAAAACTAGGAAAGCAATTCTAAAGTAAACCTTAGTAGACTATCTCCTCCACTTGAGTGAGGCCGTAAGCCGCTTGCTCCTGGAGACATGTCGGACAATAACAACAAATCCCATTGATCATAATTTTGATAGTCAATTGGCACTCAATATGCATTTGACATTGTCACTAGTTGCAAATAATAATCGCTTAACAGCAAGTTATTAATTACTTCGTAAATCATAATGATAGAACTATGTACAGTCAAGTTCCCCTTCACTTTTTAATTTACACCTAATCTCAAGAAAGCTTACACTTTCCCTTGCTGACCAAAGAAAACCATGACTACTCATACATAAGTATTTTATTTGGGATGCTTACCAGCATTGTATATCTACTTGTTAGTTCATTATAGAATAACAAGCTGCACTAGGTGCTGTTCAACTGCTAAATAACTTGGTCAAGAGTTTAGTATGATGATACTAGAATCACCCGACTATAGTTTGTTTATAATTGTTTCCGCCTTAATAATTTCATAAAACAAATGAAAACCACAAATAAAGGGTATTTATATTTTGGAGACAATCGAAAACGATAACTAAAGGCTTTGGCCAAACGACTAGAACTACTTACACATAACATATCCCAATAGTTTTCAGATCATTTGTGAAAATGAAAAAAAACACAATATGTACAGTTTGCGAAATCACCATTTGCAAAGATTTAATTCACCTCTTTGTAACTCCGCTTTCTCGACTCACGATGTCGTTGACGTCGTTCAGCCAGGATAGCCGACAGTTCAGGATTAAATGCAGAATTAAAGGGCAAACTTCGTTCGTCTACATACACTTGTTCTTGATCTGGAGGTTTTAAAGCATCTAAACCAAAAGATTTAGCCAGTAAAACTGCTGCCCTGTCTCTTTCCTTTCGTTCTCGTCGCAGTCTTTCAGCCCGAAGACGGTTAATGTCTGAACGCTTGGCCATTTCAATCAATTCTGATTTTTTATCCATACTTTCGGGATTCAGAGAAACCCCCGTGGATAAATCTTTCGTTAGCTCCCCAAATGAATTACATGAAGTTTCAGTAAGTGATTGAGTATACCTATTACCTGTTCGTCGACTTTTCGAAGCCTATACGAAAGAAAAGTTTTACTATAGCAACACACCATTACGAATATTGATCATAGAGTAAATAATATTACCACCACAAATATGCGCGATATTCATAATCGGACTGTATGTATGTTAAGAAATAAAGACACCATCGAAAATCTTTTTGGGGCGAATCTCATAGTTATACAAGTTTTAAATTACGCAAACATCCATTGCAATACGCGAGTAAGAAAAAATGCAATAACTATTAGTATGCACCACAAAACCAACGCGGATCGACAATGTTTGAATAAACGATATTACCGCCATGAAAATATCCAGGAATTTAATCCAGGGAGGCCCAAACTTTGAGATTAGATGTTGGTTGGAGGTAGTCAACAGGAAACCCTGGACCCGGGTTTCGTGCTACTTGGCACTCGTCAGCAAGGTGTACCTGTAATCTTGAGGGAACTGGTGCTCCCTGGCGGATTCGATCTCGTGTAACCCAGCTTCACAGTCAGAGACGTTACCACTGAGCTATCCGAGCCGTGACTAACCTCCTGTAGGACTGAGATGTAATCACAATTGATTGATCACCACCCAGTGATCAATCAGGGTCCAGGGTTTCCTGTTGACTACCTCCAACCAACATCTAATCTCAATACATAGTGCCCGCAGTGTCGAGTCACCTAGACTGGTGGCCACATTGCAACATGATCGATAGCATTCGATCTGCACTAATAAGGACTAGACAAGCATGAGATTGATCACCACCCAGTGATCAATCAATTGTGAGGCCCAAACTTTCCGCACCAATGCATAAGAACTGTACTAAACCCCATACATCATAGAAACTTAAATGATTTGCAAATTGCATGGGTGTCTGCGGTTGTTTTGTGCTTTATTTCTGACTCATTTACTTTGAAAAATTAGTGTGATGTGCAGCAAGTATAGTATTTTCCGTAAATATTGTCGTTTCATTCACGTCGTTCCTCTAACAACTATCGGGGTATAAGTCTACTTCCGATTGCGCCCAAACTCTTAGCTTCTGTCATACTTCGTAGGTTATTCAAAACCCGAGAATTATTGACTCGCGAGGAGTAGGCTGGTTTTCGTTCTGGTCGAGGATGTATTGATCACATCTTCACCCTCCAACAAATGTTAGAACACCGCCATACTTATCAAAGGCCAGCAATCGTAGTGTTTCTTGACATCAGGGCTGCCTTCGATTCGTTGGACAGGACTGTTCTCTGGGATTGTCTAGTGAAGAAGGGTGTGCCTGAGAAGTTTGTTAACATCCTAAAGGCCCCATATACAAACACCCCAGGCAGAGTGAGGGCATACAACCACCTCTCTCCATTGTCCCATTCAAGCAGTGGGGTTAGGCAGGGTTGCCCAATCTCACCATTCCTCATCAACTTTGCCATCGACGACATTCTGGAAACAGCTCTGATGGATGTAAGTAATGGCGATGTGGATCTGTTGCCTGGAGAAATACTTCTCGACCTTGAGTATGCGGATGATATTGTCTTACTGTGCGAAAATACCCAAGCCATGCAATCCGCACTTAATCAGTTGGCAATCAGTGTCCGTAAGTACGGTATGTGCTTTGCACCTTCGAACTGCAAAATACTTCTACAAGACTGGCAGGATTCTAATCCTGTACTCACCCTGGATGGTGAGCAGATAGAAGCAGTTGAGGAGTTCGTGTATCTAGGCAGCCGCATAAGTGCTGGTGGTGGCCTGACTGATGAGACCAATGCACATATAGTGAAAGCCAGAGCGGCTTATGCCAATCTGGGCCACCTTTGGCGCCTTCGTGATGTCAGTCTAGTTGTAAAAGGTCGGATCTACAACGCGTCGGTGAGACCAGTTTTGCTCTATGCTTGTGAAACCTGGCCTCCGATTTGGGGATGTTAGACGACTCTCTGTGTTTGATCATCGCTGTCTCCGAAGGATTGCTGACATCTAGTGTCAACACCATGCTAGTAATGCAGGGGTTCGGCATCATGTGTTCGGGCGCAGAGACGATAATTCAATTGGTGTCACCATCTTGAAACACCGACTTTGGTGGCTTGGACATGTTCTACGAATGTCGTCCCAGAGAATTCTACGTCGTGCATTATTTGCCGACTCTGGGACTGGTTGGTGTTAGCGGGCCATAGACTGGATTAAAGCATGCTCAATGCACGATTGCTTTGGTGCACGCTGATTGGCTAATTCTTATCCAATCAACACTAGTCGATACTTGGAGAATACTCTAGAATCCTCTCATGTAAAAACTATAAATGTACTAACGTTTTCCCTATTGTGCTTCTTACTTCCATCTAACCTTGTTATTTGGAATATAATATATTTTCTGTTCAACCGTGTTCTGATTTGGGGTCTTGTCGAGTGATCTGGTGTCCAAGAATACTAAGCAATAGGTATAGCTGGGTCATACCGTAAGAAAGAGAGATTATAACAGTTCGAAAAAGAGGAGAGGTGGTCAGTGTATGGCATGGTGTCGTGGTATGAAAGAAAGCTGCGAAGGGCTGGCTTTTGTTTGTCTTTCACGACTCCCTGGCTGGGGTCCTAAAGATGGTACTACACAGCGGTTAGAGACGTTATCAGATATGGCTCAGAATGGAAGCCAGTTTCGATCCTGCTGTAACGTTCTTTTACTTTCTTCATAAAACAGTAGTTGTAACTTCCTTAACTGGAAGAATTCTTTTAGCTGTACCTTTCTGTTTCCGTCATTATTATTAGTAGTAGTATTATTATTATTATTATTATTATTACACCACCTTACACTAATCTATTCGTTATTATTCTTTTTTCTTTCTCTTCGAATTCTCATTGTTTTGTGTGGCGCATAAATATTTGGTGCCCTCTTGTACCAATGTTTATGTGTCCAAATAAATAAACAAAGTGCAGGGTCCTAGTGCTTTGCTTAACAACTATCGCAAATGATGACTTAGTTGACCAAGCGTTGAGTTTTCTACTTTGTTTTGAGTCACTTTAGCTGTGTGGTTTGATATACTACTTAGCTTCTAAAACCGAAGTACCTCAAGCGATCCAGTGGTTGAGTACTTAGATTAACTGACCGCTTGCTAAAAATTACCGCTACTGAAATTTAAGTTATCAAAGTATGAAGTATACGCGAACCAGTTATCGATTTCAATACAGAGCACAGTGAGCTTCTGTAACCAACAAAACAATGCTCGTAATCGTCTTCCGTGTTTTAGATAAATACCAATGGCTAAAAGCAACTTTTTTTTCTGGTTAGCCTTTCTTCAGGATACTAACAAGCTCAACAAATTCAAGCTAGTCCTCAACAACAAGTTCCAGGCCTTTCATGATCTACTCAATGGAGAAGGAAATACTGTAGAGAGCAACTGGAAGGGGATCAAAGAGGCAATCACTTCAACATGTCGTGAGGTCCTGGGTCACAAAAAGCACCATCACAAGGAATGGATCACTGTTGATACACTGGATAAGATTCAAGAAAAGAGGAACAAGAAAGCAACAATCAATACCAGGCGAACAAGAGCAGAAAAAGCCAAGGCACAAGCTGAATAAACAGAAGTAAACAAACAAGTGAAGAGGAGCATCAGAACTGACAAACGTAAATATGTGGAAGATTTAGCAACGACGGAGGAAAAGGCTGCAAGAGAAGGAAACATGAGACAATTGTATGACACGACAAAGAAACTCACTGGAAATCGCCGCAAACCAGAACGACCAGTGAAAAGCAAAGAAGGCAAGGTAATCACCAACATTGAAGAGCAACAAAACAGGTGGGTAGAACACTTCAAAGAACTGTTGAATCGACCAGCTCCACTGAACCCACCCAACATCGAAGCAGCACCCACGGACCTCCCAATCAATGTTGGCCCACCAACAATTGAAGAAATCAGCATGGCCATCAGACAAATCAAGAGTGGCAAAGCAGCAGGACCGGACAACATCCCAGCAGAGGCACTAAAAGCAGACGTAGCGGCAACTGCAAGGATACTCCACATTCTCTTCAATAAGATTTGGGATGAGGAACAAGTACCAAAAGACTGGAAAGGACTCCTGGTCAAAATACCGAAGAAAGGCGATCTCAGCAAGTGTGATAACTACAGAGGCATCACTCTTCTCTCAATACCGGGAAAAGTCTTCAACAGAGTATTGTTAAACAGGATGAAGGACTGCGTAAACGCCCGACTTCGAGACCAACAGGCAGGATTCCGTAAGGATAGATCGTGTACAGACCAAATCGCAACTCTACGGATCATTGTGGGACAATCAATTGAATGGAATTCATCACTCTACATCAACTTCATTGACTACGAAAAGGCATTTGATAGCATGGACAGAACAACATTATGGAAACTTCTTCGACACTACAGCGTGCCTCAGAAGATAATCAATATCATACAGAACTCATATGATGGATTACACTGCAAAATCGTGCATGGAGGACAGTTGACAAAGTCGTTCGAAGTGAAGACCGGTGTTAGGCAAGGTTGCTTACTCTCACCCTTTCTCTTTCTCCTGGTGATCGACTGGATCATGAAGACGTCAACATCTGAAGGGAATCACGGGATACAATGGACATCTAAGATGCAGTTGGATGATCTGGCCCTTCTATCCCAAAAGCAACAACAAATGCAGGAGAAGACGAACAGTGTGGCAGCAGCCTCAGCAGCAGTAGGTCTCAATATACACAAAGGGAAAAGCAGGATTCTCCGATACAACACAGCATGCACCAATCCAGTCACAATTGACGGAGAAAATTTGGAAGATGTAAAAACCTTTACATATTTGGGCAGCATCATTGATGAACAGGGTGGATCTGATGCAGATGTGAAGGCGCGGATCGGCAAAGCAAGAGCAGCATATTCACAACTGAGGAACATCTGGAACTCAAAGCAACTGTCAACCAACACAAAGGTCAGGATTTCCAATACAAATGTCAAGACAGTTCTACTGTATGGGGCAGAAACCTGGAGAACTACAAAAGCCATCATCCAGAAAACACAGGTGTTTATTAACAGTTGTCTACACAAAATGCTTCAGATCCGTTGGCCGGACACTATTAGCAACAACGTACTGTGGGAGAGAACAAATCAGATCCCAGCGGAGGAAGAAATCAGGAAGAAGCGCTGGAAGTGGATAGGACACACATTGAGGAAAGCACCCAACTGCGTCACAAGACAAGCCCTCACATGGAATCCTGAAGGCCAAAGGAAAAGAGGAAGACCAAAGAACACATTACGCCGAGAAATGGAGATAGACATGAGAAAAATGAACAAGAATTGGATGGAACTAGAAAAGGACCAGGACATAGTGGGTTGGACAATGCTGGTCGGCGACCTATGCTCCATTGGGAGTAACAGGCGTAAGTAAGTAAGTAAACGCAACTTCCTACTCTGTGATGATAGTTTCCAGTCCCTGCTGACAGCAAAACGACATCATATAAATTAACCCACCAGTTGCATAAGTATAAAACTTAGAAACAGCAAAGTAGAACTAAACCTAAACAAACCTCTTTGTATGGGCACTTTGGTACCATTATGTCATCAGGAAATAAGGTTGGCATAGCATGAATGCAAGCACTGGCACGTTGAAGTTCAGCTGCTTCGCTCTGTCTTTTTACTTCCTTATTGTGTTTGAACATCTCCTCGACCTTCTTCATTTCTGTTAATGGGTCAGCTAATGTCTTCTTCTTTATTTCCAGTTCTTCTTTGGTCCTATAGATTGATCATCAAATGCCATAGCGCTTACTTTCTTCGTTCGCTCTCACGACGCTCATAAGTTCGAGGGTGCACATCATACCACGGCTTTTCACCGGCAGCATCAAGAACAGTTTGGCCTAAATAAGTCAAAATCCCAACTGCTTTCTCTTTTCTCTCTTGTTCGATCTTCTTCTCATTTTCGTATTCTCCGTTTCCTTGTGAGACATTCAGCTTTTGGCTATCCGATTATTGCGATCCGCAACTTACGATACTATCTTTTGTTAGAGTTATCTGGAATCCATCTGATCCCGAGCTAGATGTTAGCTTATTTTTTTGTCTTCTTAAATAATCTATTCGCGCTTCCTGATCCTAAACGTATAAAGTCAATCGAAGATTTTGAGATGCCTTACAGCAAGTTGTGCTTTAATTTCAAATTTTCTTCGCTCCTCCTCATATTTTGCCTCATCTGACCTCACCCGAGCAATGTTCTCTTTTTTTAAAACATGCCATCTGTTAATCAATAACATACAAAAAACATTACCTTTTTTTTGGTAAAATATTCATTGTTTTGGAGTGAGATCCTCAAACGCGAAGTGAATTATCTTGCTACTGGATAATCCTCAGACTACTAAAAAGATACGTTAAATTACTAAGTCACATTTTCTTAAGTGATGCAAAAAATTTTCTTATGCTATTCATGAGACTAATTTCACGTGAAAAAAAACTTATAATCCGTACAAAATTATGGAGCCGCACACAAAATTGCATTACTTCCAGGTATTAGGTTTTGCAATAGAGTAGACTGAACACGAAAACGTATACACAATAATAATTATTTGAGAGATGTGGGTAAATTGAAGAAATGAGTATATTCATAACCAGTTTTTAATGAACTTCACCCACTTACATACTAATAACTAAGACCAACAAGTAACTTTGCAGATTATTGACCCAGCTCTCTGCGAACTTTTTAAGGTTTTTACCACGTGCTTCAATGGCCTGATATAACGTTTGTCTATCTAAACCAATGTATCAGCCTGGTAGATTGCAATTCTACGGCATGATTCCTTACGTTACAGTTTGGCAAGCAGGCAGCAGTTCTGTTTAAAGCAACTGACGACTTGAGATCAAATCACTAAGGATCTTAAGTCTTTTCAGACTGAAATTGTATTATGGTTTTAAGGTAGGATGACCTGGTGAACTTTTTAACTGGAGTTGTACATGTACTCACATATTTTACCTCTACACGCGAACCAGTAACAGGACATATCGTCCAGAATAATCCATTTAAGGAGCCAATGTTTAGCTTATAAGACTTACTGAGACTTTTGAGTGAACACAAAATTTATGTACTAAGTTGTTTACTGAATGCTTGAAATTAATTAATAAGTACTTAGAGTGATATCTTTTTTGACCCATAATAGGAAGCCATAAATATTTATTTATATTTACGGGACATTGTTGTGTTTCTGGAATCGAACATGTTTTGAGCCCCCTTCCCCGACGTGACCAAAAAGTAGGATGCCATAAGCGAACAGGTTATATAATGCCGTTAGGCGAACACCAACAAGCAGATCACTTAATATATAAACTTTCCACAGACATTATCAAGACGTACTACATTTAATGTGATTAGTGATGTGTTTGTATGATTACCGAACTAAATAAACATTACAAAAATCTATTCCTACCCAGTACTCCTTCAAATCAACCCAAATCTTAGTGACTGTACAACTGGCTGTAGAAGAAAGGAATCTCCCGGCACTAAATGGTTCAATATTGAGGAAAGGTTTCCTTCAAATGGTTATGTTCGGAATATTAGAGGCTTCCGTTTAACGAGGCTTCCGTGTCTAGTAGTAGTGGATCACCAATACCTCCAGGCAGGAGCCTAGGTATATTAACGACAAAAAAGAAATTGATAAATCATCCTTAAGAATATGTAAGGTTTTCTCATGAATGACTACTGTGGAGTTGCTCGGACTAGCTCAGCCGGCAGCGAATTCGAGTATTTGACTACTCTTAAGGAGTGGAAGTTGTGCCTCCAGTTTCTGGGTATTACCTCTTAGGTTAGTGTTGGAACTAAGCTTAAGTAGGTGTTTGAGAGGATGTCCAGAAGTGTTAAGAATACTATAAGCCATCAGGAGGTCATCTCTAAGACGTCTATACTCTAATGGATAAAGTTCTAGTGAATGGAGGCGCTCTTCGTAAGGTTTAAATTTGAGTCCTCGAACTGATTTCGTGGCTCGCCGTTGGATACGCTCCAGGGTGTCCTTATCCTTTTGAAATGAGGGGAGAAATACTATGTTTCCGTACTCTAAATGGGGACGGATAAAACTATTGAAGATCATATTAAAAGTTCTTCCGTCAAACTGACCAGAATGCGCTGCAGTGTTATCAGTGCAAGGCATTTTTGTCACAGTTAGCGTAAGACTTTGAATCGTAGGGCACCAGGACTCCTAGATCTTTTTCGACTCGGGATATTACTAAAGAGGAGTTTCTCAAGTTATAACTGTAGTCTGCAACATGTCGCAGATGGACTACTTTACACTTTGAAGTGTTAAATGTAGGTTCATTATAGTCTGCCTAACTTTGAAGACGAGTCAGATCCTCCTGAAGTGCCTGTATATCGTCTTGGTTGCATATCCCTCTCCAACGTTTCACATCATCAGCAAAATGTAATACGTCTGACGACACTGTTGTGGAAGGTCGTTTATATAAAACAAGAAGAGAAGAGGTCCTAGCACTGAGCCCTGGGGGACTCCACTAGGACATTCAATAGCCTGAGAGAAAGTGAAGTTAACCCTGGCCTTAAAATGTCGATTTTTCAAATATGAAGTGAGCCAATCGATTAGAGGTGGTCTGATACCCACTCGTTTGAGCTTATTGATAAGACATGTTTGGTTAACCTTATCAAAAGCTTTTGAGAAATCTAGGTGGATGATATCAACCTTCCCCTTGTGATCAAGGATGCTTGTCCATATGTCCACCCTTCCTGTAACCGTGCTGTTGGGGTTAGAAGTTTATGAATGATAAATAGTCGTGTATATCGCTACATATCGAGGACTTGATGATTTTTGAAGGTATGGAGAGAAGAACCATCGGTTGGTAGCTTGAAGGTTCACTTCGTCGAACTCCTTTGAAAATTGGTATGATTCTAGCCAGCTTCCGAATTTCAGGTCATGAGCCTCGGCTTAGCGAGTGTGGGAACATCACGCTAAGCGGTATTGCCGTGATTGAAGCTACTTTCCTCAGTGTAGCAGAATGAACAGTATCCGGACCAGGAAGAGTTCCCTGTATAGGAACTGCAGTTTCCGGAACACCAAGTCAGCGCTCAGGTTCACTCGGGAAAGTCCTGTTCAGTTACAGATTAAGCTTTCATCAGTATAGTTGATGTGGGTCGTTTGAAATGTTCGAGGGTACTGTTGAGTCAGAAGATTAGCGGCATCACCATCGTTGTTCTTCGGGCCATTACGACCCAGCATCTGACAAACTCTAGTTTTGGCTTGTCTAAGAGAAGCTGGATAACGTAATAAGCTTTTCGGATTGGAGACACTTATCGATAAGCTTCATCTGGTACTGAAGTCTGTCTTCTGTTGTTGTGCATATGTCCCGTTGTAACCAGTTCGTTTACATTTCGCTCAACAGTGCCTTTTGCGGCTTATCAAATGAAGAGTGCGGTTCTTGATGATTGTAGGTTGCTTGTGGCTTTTGAGGACAGTTTGAGGAACTGACTTCCTTGTAGCACATAGGAGTGTGTTCAGTAAGAAACCCTATTGTCGGAACAGTATTCCCCCTTTTGCACTCGAATCTCGTTATTTGATTTTCGCGGCATATGTGAGTTGCGTTATTGTTCCTGAGATATTCACCGATCTTGATTTGTGTGCTGTTGCTTTTAATCTCTTCTGTTTCCAAATAAACATCGACAACACGTGTTACATGTGACGATGAAGGCGTCAGCAGGAACCCATGACAAATGTGTGACGAACTGTGGTTCGAAAAAGATTAGGATGTTAGGTGAGGCAACAAGACGGAGTATCGAGTCCAGATAACGACTAAGCTCTTGCTGATGTTGCTAGCCCGTGTGCATCTAAGTCAATTAGGGGCTATGTTTGCTAGTGCTTGATGCTTTAACAAGTTTATTTCACTGTAGCATGTGAATGCTACTATAACTTGTAAATGAACCATCATGGCTATTAATAAATATAGATTACCAGATAATAATATTGACTGAGCTAGTACGCTATGACTACCAATCAATAATACGTCACGATAATAAACGTGAGCATTATTCAAGGAACACAGGTAAAAATCGATCGAAAAAGTTAAAGTGAAACTGAGAATTAATATACAGCTGAGTTTCTATATTCTGGCTAACCAATGTAGAATCACGGTCTAGATTCGTCTTTCGTGCCTCTAGACAAGTCTTGTTCTATTGATAGAAGAAACCAGACACAGTAAATAACGCTTTAGTTTTTTTCGAAAAAATAAATACGTACATATATATAAGCAAGCACATCAGCAACGAAAAATTTTGTTTATTTTCCGAATGAAACAGTAAGTATATTTAAAGGCATATTAAAAATTGTTTGATTTGCTTTATTGACACAATACAAAAATATCGAGACAAAACGGTGTTATGTAGTGTATTGCATGCGGTAATTGTTTGCGTGTTCGGGAAACCTTACTCTTCCGCCAGGACGCATCGTTTGGAGTCGGTTGTCACATACCACCTAAGTGTCATCGCGATTGTGGATTATCAGGTGAGGTATCGTAATTTCGGGGCTCTTGTCTTTCGATTGTGTCGAAGAAAAATCGACATGATTAGGGTTTCCCTCCAAATACACGGCTTTGAGGAAATCGATACTGATTCCGTCGTTAGTTTTCTTCCTATCGATTATATAGTACTTGGGTTTACGCTGAGAAACTTTAAAGGGTCCTTCGTATGTCGTTTTGAGGAGTCGTTGCAGTGAGTTGCGACGTACAAAGACGTGTGTACCCTATCGTATGGCAGGTTGAGAGAAAATATCACTTGATTGTGGTCTAGTGGAAACATGTTTGACTGAACGCATGATGCTTGTAAGCCACCTCGCGTAAGAAATTAGAGTCATATTCATTGAATAAGGTGAAGGATCCACGAATTCTACTAGAGGTCAAAGTGTCGTTCCATAAACGAGTTGAGCTACCGTGTATCCAATGTCAAGTTTCGTTGCATTGCAAACACCGAGTAAAACAAATGGTAGAACGTCGGTCCACTGCGAGACGTTTCTGCTGAGAGTGACGTTTTAAGCTGTTAGTGGAAGCGCTCTACCAACCCGTTTGCTTGTGGATCGTAGGCGATTATTCTGAATCACGTGATTTCTAATAGGGTAGTTAGACGGCAGAAAAGTTCAGATTTGAACTGACGTCCACGGTGTGTATTGATAGTCGAAGAGCAGCCGAAGTTCGCAACACATAGTTTGACGAAGACACGGGTCGCTGCCTCAGCACTAACGTCTTTGATGGGTACAGCTTCTGAACATTGAGTAAAAGCATCCGTTTAACACCTAGTCAGTCAGCTACAACGTAGGACCAGACACATATATGCATCGGTCCAAGTTGCCACACCTCATTAGCACAACGAGATGAACACCAAGTTGATAGAAGTAGTTAATTCAATGGTGGTAATATATAAAGAGAAAGAATGCATATAAGGATATAATACATGAAGAAAGAATTAGTTTGTAGAAATGAAAGTATAAAGCAATTTTAATCTCATAGTTTAAGGGAAGACAGAGAGTGTATACATCTACGTCATTGTGATCGATTTTGAGTCATTTCACCCAGAGTCTCCAATCATTCGTTACGACAGTCACACAAACTTCAACCAAGTGATTTGCATCTACCAGTATGGCTAACATTATTCAACATAGGCAAAAACATACTTGAGAAAATGACTGACACAACGTAATAGGTAGGATATAATACATGAAGAAAGAATTAGGTCGTAGAAAGATGATGTGAACAGGGAAACAAGAAGCCCCGACAAACTACGAAAGCTACTTTTCGGGACGTTATTTCATTTTATCCAAAGCTTGTAAAACTGAAATTTATTTTTGTCCCTATTTTACTCTACAGAACGTGAGCTTTCGTTCGATGTATCATTCATTGCCATACCTCTTTTTGTTCCGAAGCTATTGTAATTTAACATAATATTTTGCTCCTTATTTTCTACCCTAATTCCCAGTTTCGGACATAATTGTATTTTTCCGAATTACTTTACGTTGTGGTCACGTAAATCACCTATTTATTCATGTACCTTTTTGCACTAATCTGAATTCAGAGATTTCACAGGAAATCAGGATATCGCAATACAGCCAATAGTGTTCCAGCTGTCTTGTCTTCTCTCATTACCGCGCTTGCCAGCCAGTCGGGTGCCAGAATAGTTTTCTTCTACCTACCACACCTCGAACTCACGCGTACTAGCCTCAAGGTTAAACTGGCCAACCTATTGCGCCAAGGTCTTAATCTAGAGTAGACAGATCAAGGTCATAACAAAAGAAAAGTATAAAGCAATTTTAATCTCATAGTTCAAGAGAAAACAGAAAGTGTATACATCTACGCCTTTGTGATCGATTCGGTGTCATGTTACCCAGTGTCTTCAACCATCGGTTACGACAGTAAAAATCCTACCGAATCCAAATAAACATGGTCAAAAGGAAGTGTGAAAGACGTTAAGCGACATTTGTTGTTTGTGAATTCTCGGCCTTCAACAGAAAGTCCTAAACCTCAATTCACTGTCTAGGAACCGTTTCGAGAAGAATGCCGAATGTTGCCAGGTGTGGTTAACACATTATTTTAACACTCTTCCGATCGCCGAGTCGGATGCGCCTTCTGCGATAATAATGGGTGCTTCGGTGTTCTGTTGTGCGAGCAATTTTGCTTTGGCGATAAGTTCCTTAATTGAGGAGGCCCTTGAACGTGCATAGCCGCTTGGTTGTGGTTGGTTCTGCGTAATTTGGAGTGGTTCCACTCTGCTTTTTAGAGGTCGGATGCCTTGACCATCAGAATGTCCATGAAAATCAAGGAAGTCGATGCCCATTCGACATTTCTCAATGTTTACAGTAGTAACGTGCTTTTGTAGTCGAGGACAAGGTCCATATGGCGAAGATGAAATTTTGTATCCGGGGTTATGATCAAGTGGTCATCAACATACCCATGTACGAAATCGAAAAATGTAATCGATGAATCTCTCTAAAATTGTACAACATTTTTTGAGCTGAAAGAAATACGCGGGAATCCTTAGAGATCGGATGGGATTAATGATAGCGGATTTAGGAATATCATTGTCGGCCATGGGAATTTGAATAATGCTTTAAGCAAGTCGATTTTCGAAAAAGCAGTTGAACTTTTCAGGGTAGCTGTCAAGATGTAAATATGAGACGATGGGTAACGGTCAGGATTTGTTATCGCGTTCGATCTCCGATAGTCAAAAATTGAACGCCAGTCGTTGCTGTCCTTTTTAGGGACCATGTGCGAAGGAGATGCCAATGGATTGTTTGATGGCCGAATGATTCCCAAGTCTACCATGTTGTCGAATTCGTTTATGGTCAACCCCAGTTTTTTTGGGAGCTACTGGACGCGCTTTCGAGAATACAGGTGGTCTTGTCGTCGTGATGTAATGTGTAACATTGCATGTTATACACGGCTCTACTGTCACGTTTGGTATAGCTCGGGATAATTATTGAGTATTTGTTGGTAGTATGAATTGATCGTGTGCCTTGCTGTGACTAGGGGCAATCTACAGCTAGAAAAATAAGTTACAGAAAGACGCAGTAGTAATCAAGAATCGATGTTGGATAGCGGTGGAAACCAGGACGCGCGCCTCGTTCTATTTGCGGCTCGTCAGCTGGATGTACTCGTATCCCAGAGTTGATGTTCACTGCGGCACTTCAACCCAAATCTGTTCATTTCAAAAGTATGACTCACTTTATAATCAGTTCAACTATGTGTTATTCCTAGAACTAAAAATATTGTGTGAGTTATTATTAGTGTTCTTCTTAATGGCTATCTGGTAGATTTTGTAGCCTTATTGTTTATATGTCTACTTTTCGAAACGTCGGTTGTAATTACCAATATTAGGTAATCAAACTACTTCTTTTCCGTCAAGGAGGAAATGTATTGTGCTGCATGTAACACATGATTTCACAATACTTATCTACTGAATAGTTAGAGGCTGGCTCACATCACACCAATTTTCAAAGGAGGTCGTCGCAGAGAACCTTCAAGTTACCGACCGGTGGCTCTTCTCTTCATGCCTTCAAAACTCATGGAGTCCCTGATATGCGATGGTATAAATGACTATTTACTGTCCTTACATTTCTTCTCACCCCAACAGCATGGTTTCAGGAAGGGTTACTCTTGTATTACCAACCTGATGACTGCGGTGGACAGATGGACAAGCATCCTTGATCACAAGGGGAAAGTTGATATCATCTACCTAGATTTCTCAGAAGCTTTTGATAAGGTTAACCAAACATGTCTTATCAATAAGCTCAAACGAGTGGGTATCAGACCACCTCTAATCGATTGGCTCACTTCATATTTGAAAAATCGACATTTTAAGGTCAGGGTTAATTTATCTTTATCTCAGGCTATGGAATATCCTAGTGGGGTCCCCTTGGGCTTAGTACTAGGACCTCTTCTCTTCTTGATCTACATAAGTGATCTTCCTCAACAGGTGACGTCAGACTTATTACTTTTTGCCGACGACGTGAAACTTTGGAGAGAGATACGCAACCAAGACGATATACAGGCACTTCAGGAGGATCTGACTCGACTTCAAAGTTGGGTAGACGATAATGGACTTACCCTTAACACTTCAAAGTGTAAAGTAGTCCATCTGCGACATGTTGCAGACTACAGTTATGACTTAAGAAACTCCTCTTTAGTAATATCCCGAGTCGAAAAAGACCTAAGAGTCCTGGTGCCCTATGATTCAAAGTCTTACGCTAACTGTGACAAAAATGCCTTCCGAGCAAACCTTGCACTGGTAACATTGAAGCGCATTTTTGGCCAGTTTGACGGAAGAACTTTCCATATAACCTTACGAAGAGCGCCTCCATTCACTAGAGCTTTACCCATTAGAGTATAGACGTCTTAGAGATGACCTCCTGATGGCTTATAGTATCCTTAACACTTCTGGACATCCTCTCAAACACCTACTTAAGCTTAGTTCCAACACTAACCTAAGAGGTAACACCCAAAAACTGGAGACAACATAGCAGAACGGACTGTAGACACAACTTCTACTCCTTAAGAGTTGTCAAATGCTGGAATTCGCTGCCGGCCGAGCTAGTCCAAGCGACTTCCCAGGAGTCCTTTAAGAGGCAACTTGATCTATTCTTAAGGACTAAGGATAGTATCACACTATGATTTACTAATTTCTTTTCCTCTTTTATTGTTCGCATACCTAGGTTCCTGCCTGGAGGATTTGGTGATCCCCTGCTACTAGACACGGGAGCCTGTTAAGCGAAAGCTTCTTCTATTCCGTCCACAACCATTTGAACCATTTAGGATTGAATTATATAGCAGAGTCAAATCTGAACGTTCAGGTTGTAACACGTGTAATCGGCAGTCACTGGAAAGCGGGAAGACCTAAATCCACAACACACACAATGTTAACTGAACACTTCACACCACAGAGAGAACATGGAATGGAGACACATAGTCGTTCTGTACAGAAAGGAGAGCTAGTTTACAAAGCGGTCTTATAAGTCGTTCTGTAAGTTTAGTGCATGCAGGGCTTGCTCTTCTTCTTCTAAAGCATTTATTCTTGCTTGCCCTGCAATAGAAAGAAAACGAAATCCGTTAACAACATCATACATGATGATTTTAATCCCGTTACAAGGTAACTCAAGGGTCACGAAATATACATATTGATGATGAATTAGATAATTTCACCAAGGAATTGTTGCACATTGACTTTATTATGATTGGTTTCACTGAGGAAACATGTTAACCCTTATTGAAAACAGTGGATTGTCCGGACTTCTGTTTTTGGCTTTGTTGTTAACATATAAGGCTGTAGATATTATTTCGAATTAAGATAGATGGTTTAATACATAGAGTTTAAGTTAAGGCTTAGGACTATGCGTCAAATTACATATAGGTTAACTGGAAATCCTAAACCATAATCTTAACTGTAACCCTGAATTCTATTGATGATGTCACAGGTATTCAGTGTTTGACAACGCTTCTACCAGTAACACCTTCTAATGTATTTCGTTCCCACCCAGACAAATCAAAAGACAGAGTCGAGGAGATCGGAAGAGTATATTTGGCGATGACCAATATATCGGAATTCTCTGATCTAATCTGGCTAGCGATTGCGGTTGATGTTGAGCACGGCGTTACCACACGTGATCTGGTGCGGATGCCTGACCGAGCGCCTTCAGCTAGATGAGTCCACTAAAACACATGGTCAGCATCCAATGTCGAAAACTTACAGAGCTATTTATTTTGGGGATTTATTTACCGCTACACTATAAAGAGACTATAATTTATGGACGAACCAATAAGATATAAGGTGACACGTCTTGGATCTTGGCGGGACATTCAGCCTTAAACAGCGATTTAGGATTTTAGCTGATGTCAGTTCGTGATGAAAATTTTAAATCTAATTCATAACCCTAACCAACTGTATATCATAATCCTTATTCTTCACATAGGTTTATAGCTCCCATTTAGCCCTAACAAGTAAATGGACACCCTCAAGGCTGCTTTAATGTCGCTCAAAGGTCATCCATAAGTTATAGTTTCACCGAATTTTGGTTACATCATTTATGTATACATAAGTCCTAATTCTTAGTTCCGATCTCTATCCATATCTTAAGTTCTATAACGGAGATGCTAAGCTATTCATTTATACTTACTGCCTTCTGAATAGCTTGATAGAATCTGACAAGGTAGTTTAAAGACTCACAAGTCCGCTCTTATACTGCTTATAACCAGTGCTTGTAGCTGTTTGTTTTTCTATTCGTGTAAAACATTACTGATCCAGGAGGCTCTGGTTAGAAATTCTAGTGTAGATAACAAAGATTATTTTATCGTCATTAGTAAAACTACGATAAGCGCTACAAAACCGAGAGCCTTCGATAAAGAACGAACTCTTATAGAACAGCAAGCTAATCTTATGTGAAAGTTATATCTCGAGTCACTTCGACAGAGAATCTAGATATATTAGTGACTTAAAGAGTCATATCATGAAAGGTACAGTTGATGGTGAATAGAAATCATAGAAGAGGCAAAGAAGGAAAGGTCAAATTGTTCCTGATACTATTGCGTGGAGCTTGGAGGGGTCGAGTGACTCGGATCCTGAATCTAGACTTTCATATGCTTCATATTAAGTTGAGCTGTTTGTCTGTCTCCTATTCCCGACTTATTCATCAGGTACTCATGTCAAGAACTAATAAGTTTAAGCAAGAGAGCCTATAGTAGTACTGATTCCCCGCCACGTATACTTATTAAGGTTCCTAGGGTTTGAGTAACAAAATCTCAAGTTAACTTGTTCTCAGGAGAAAGATAATAGCAATACGCCGGTGTAACTGGAAGATAGAATCAAGAGGAAAACGGGTGTGTCAGAACGAGTAGTCTGGAGACTGTTTAGTGTGACTACAAACTACCACTCGCTACTTATTGAAATAAACAAGACTGGTATGGTAACAAGAAAGAAAATAAGACTACAGAAGGATGCTTTATTCAGCAGTTACTAATTAATACATTCACAATGAGAGTTACATATCATTTTAAATGTTCGGTCAGTGAATAAATTTGGACGAAAGTAACTAAAGTTAGTCAATAATCTAACATGCAGTATGATTTTCATAGTAAATAAATAAATTGACTTGACTGAAAAATATTACTCACTCCTAGTTTGTATGTTTGTTTTATTCCTAACAATAGCTACCACTAGGTTAACTTTACTATTGTTTTGGTAAAATAAATGAAAAATATTATTTGGGCTGGTGTTCTACGTCATGAGGAAGGAATGTTTTTCTGTCTAAAGGACGACAGGCTCTTAGATCACGTCTTTCATGTTATTTGTTTATTATATTTGAACACATCTTTCATGTTTGGCTAATCTGATTCCGAAATTAGATTTGGCTTTAGCAAAAGGCGAAAATATTCCGGTAGATGTAATTTTTATGAACCTCAGTAAAAACTTTGATTAGATCTCTCATTTGGGTCTTTGAGCAAAGTGGGAAGGCTTCGTAATGGATTATACATCAAGATCAGACTGATGAATTTCTTAGTGATAGGAGGCAACGTGTGAGAGTAAACAGCACTTTGTTATTGTAAGAATATGTGAAGGCTGGAGACTGGTGTTTGTTAGCAGTAAATTCTAGCATGCTCATGGTATGGTAAATAGATCGTTGTGACGAATTATGCAAGTAGATAATAGATGAAGTGCTTTCAACTAACATCAATAATACTATTTTAAAAGCCACAGCAATTAATGAGCACAGAATCATGGGTAACTAAGATGGCGCTGCCAAAAGTTTCCTTATTTTGTAGGTAATCCGTAAAGCCTGTCATAACTTGGAGAAAAATACATCTAGGATATTCTGCCCGACGTATGTGAGACCTCGTTTGAAATACCGAGTTCAGTCAACGAATCGTTGTTCCAAATATGAAACGGATATTCTGCGACGGGTTTAACGACGAGGAACCAAAACTGCAGTCTTTCTGACTTGTCTTATCAATAGGCTGGGACGCTTCAACCCATTTCTGTTATCCGACAGTAGATCGTGGGGTGACGTATTACAATGTACTAAACATTGGTTTTTGTACTAATATGTTCTATCTTTCTTTTCAGGTAGTCTGAAAGGATATTCTCAGATAGTTCCAAACCAAGATCAAGTCGTTTAAATCTGGAGTTGTTAATTACTGGAATTCTCTGACAGAAAACGTAGTATCAGAACTTGTTGATACATTCGAAGAGATATTGTATCTTCACAGTACTATAAATCTCAATGGTTAACATGGGTCACTTGACCTCTTACCCTTACTCCTGAAAACTGACTGCATCCTATGTACGGGCTTACTGAATTTTTGGCTCACATCTCTTGTTCCTTATCCTTCCAAATTTCCACTATTCTCTGCACGTTTTCCAGTACTGATAGTACCTCCAGGGTAGACACGAATAGCTGAATATTTTCATCTCATCAAGGGATTTACTTCTAAGACGATTTTAGCTATCTGACCGAGTTACGCACAACCTGCGTTGTCATATTTCGGTAGGTAACCAAATTCCATTTTACTAAAATACATCCTAATGCATGCAGAAGGTTCTCGCAACTTGACTTTGATTGATAGTTCGAGATTAAGAAATAGTACAGAGTTACACGATCAAAGGGGTTGTAATTCCAGGGCCCCTATTATGTGGGAATTCGATGAGAGAGTTAGGACTGTTGTCTGTGAGCGATTTACTTTGGTGCTCAGTTTTGCCAATATTTGTGTATCTAAATAAATAAAATCACTAACCTACAGAAGACAGAAGGGTGACATCACAACCTGCTCCGACCATTGCAGCAAGGTAATCTTACCAGAGCGTCATCATAGTGACGCACTTGAAAATCCTCACAGGGTTGTCCACTAATAGGAAAATACCAAAGTAACACCTCAGTTTATGCATCATGTATCTGTTCTACATGAAACGCCCTCATAACCATCGTACCTATAGCCTTTTCGATGGACCGTTGCAAGCAAGTATTAGATGAGCATACAAAAGCACACGAACCTCCCTCAGCCAGGTGGGATGACTAGTGAAATCACAGAGTAGGATAAAGTTGGAGTGACCAGCCTCCCCCCACCCAATGTTACATGTGTTGATATTTCTTCATATCTCCCCACTTACGTATTTGCCTTAATTATCATTTCAATCCTGCCTCACTTTTCATTCACACCTAATCAGACATTCTTCATATCCCGTTATTCTGACTAAGATTAGCTAAGCTACTGTTAATATAATATTCTAAGTTCTAACAGTCCTATAGTCCATTGAAAAGAACATGGGAGAAATGAATAAATCAAACTAACTATCACTAGGGCTACTGCATCCGCGAGAAGCCTCACTGAATACGACCAAAACATCCGGAATCGCTAGCTAACAAGAATACGCAAGCTCTCTGACATCAACTCGTATATACTAGCTCGCCACAAAGATATTGAATAGTTTGAGTTAACATCGGCTGTGGTATTTTTAGAATGATAAAGTTTGGTTTACGTTGCTGCTTACGTATACGATTTGTGCGCAGGCCCGGTAAAAAAAATTGGAAGCTTTTAATGAATGATAAGAGATTCAGTTGTTTGTTGTTTTGTAAACTAGCTATAATTTTGTATTAAAATTTCTGTGGTCAGCAATTTTATGGGACTAAGCATGTGATATAGTAACAAACTTTGGAGCCGAAGTTGCAGATAAGCTCATATGCTGCACATATTTTTTTTTTAACTCTTACTATTTTTTATTCCGCAAACATTTACAAATGCATTTGAAAATTTCAGATTTTCAACATTTTGTGAACCATAAGAATTCGGTTGGATTTTTCAGTCTCCAAAATTTAATATTTAAGTTATGACTTCCACTTCACGTCATAGTATATCTAATATTTGGCAATAAAGAGGTGACAAAACGTCGTGTGCGACTATCACTTAGTCACTCAACTTAAATAGCGGTACCTAGTTTTGGCTGTATTCAGAGACCTATGCTTCACGAGGGCTAACTGGTGTGAGGAGGTAAGTGTCGGCCACACAGAAACTGAATAAACGTTCGGAATTCATGAATTGGAACTCAATAAAAATATCGATTTTTGTTCATAAACGGTTTAAAAATAGGACTATAAGGAAAAGCCCCCAAATGTCTTCATACGGCCGAGAATGGAATGAGTCGGCTCTCCCTCTCGAAATACTCTCACATGGCCACGCGTATATAGTCTCTGCCAGGGAAGTCCTACCCACTGTCTGTTTAGCGGCGGGGTTTTTTTACGAAATTGAGAGGATGAATGGTGAATGTTCGACACCTTAACCGCATCGGTGGACACAGGGGTCTTCAGAAAGTCTTAATATCAGCGTCTGCTGTCTATCCGAGCCCTCTATTCAAGACTGGTGAAGTACTACAAATTCGCTCTCCATCTGTCGCTTCAAAAGGCTCGTTTTATGTGCGTCTATCCGTGGACCCTGTGGCATCTTCGTCCAGTTTTGCTGGCGTTGGTGTCGCACTAAGTGCTAGAGCTGAGGCAGCACTAATCGATTGGATTCCCGCTAACAGTCGGTTATGTGCTGTTAGATTAGAAAATTACATTAAGGTGAGAAATCTGCGTGAGAGACGACGTATTTTCGTCATCTCCACATATGCTCCGACAGATTGCAGCCCAGATGTGATCAAGGATGAGTTTTACCTCCAGTTAACTGTTCTTCGCCAGAAAGTGCGTCCTACAAATATTGTATTACCAGCCGGAGACTTAAATGCTCAGATCGGGCGTCTAGGCACAGAAGAGATTCGTTTAGGTGGCCGATGGGGACTTGTTGGTCACAGGACAGATAACGGGGCCGTCTACTGCAACTGTGCACAGACCGTAACCTGTTTCTGGTTAGCATTAACTTCCGGCGCAGCCATCACTGACGTGCCACCTGGCGTCCTCCCTCTGTATCTCAAGCCTGGATTCGGATTGATCACATCGCGATCAGCTACCGCTGGCGTGGTTGTGCACAAGACTGTCGCTCCTTTTGGAGTACTTACATGAGCTGTGATCATGTCCTTGTTTGCGCCAATCTTACTTTTCAGTGGCCAACGAATTCATCGTCGTAAATGGATTGATGTCGGCAAGTTGGTCGCAACTTCTGTTGCAAGTAAGTATCGAATCGAGCTAGCTTCTAGGCTAGCTACCATCCCACCAAAAAGTATAGATGATCATTGGTTGCAACTTTTCGTAGTCAATGAAGTTGATGTAGAGTGATGAATTCCATTCAATTGATTGTCCCACAATGATCCGTAGAGTTGCGATTTGGTCTGTACACGATCTATCCTTACGGAATCCTGCCTGTTGGTCTCGAAGTCGGGCGTTTACGCAGTCCTTCATCCTGTTTAACAATACTCTGTTGAAGACTTTTCCCGGTATTGAGAGAAGAGTGATGCCTCTGTAGTTATCACACTTGCTGAGATCGCCTTTCTTCGGTATTTTGACCAGGAGTCCTTTCCAGTCTTTTGGTACTTGTTCCTCATCCCAAATCTTATTGAAGAGAATGTGGAGTATCCTTGCAGTTGCCGCTACGTCTGCTTTTAGTGCCTCTGCTGGGATGTTGTCCGGTCCTGCTGCTTTGCCACTCTTGATTTGTCTGATGGCCATGCTGATTTCTTCAATTGTTGGTGGGCCAACATTGATTGGGAGGTCCGTGGGTGCTGCTTCGATGTTGGGTGGGTTCAGTGGAGCTGGTCGATTCAACAGTTCTTTGAAGTGTTCTACCCACCTGTTTTGTTGCTCTTCAATGTTGGTGATTACCTTGCCTTCTTTGCTTTTCACTGGTCGTTCTGGTTTGCGGCGATTTCCAGTGAGTTTCTTTGTCGTGTCATACAATTGTCTCATGTTTCCTTCTCTTGCAGCCTTTTCCTCCGTCGTTGCTAAATCTTCCACATATTTACGTTTGTCAGTTCTGATGCTCCTCTTCACTTGTTTGTTTACTTCTGTTTATTCAGCTTGTGCCTTGGCTTTTTCTGCTCTTGTTCGCCTGGTATTGATTGTTGCTTTCTTGTTCCTCTTTTCTTGAATCTTATCCAGTGTATCAACAGTGATCCATTCCTTGTGATGGTGCTTTTTGTGACCCAGGACCTCACGACATGTTGAAGTGATTGCCTCTTTGATCCCCTTCCAGTTGCTCTCCACAGTAGTTCCTTCTCCATTGAGTAGATCATGAAAGGCCTGGAACTTGTTGTTGAGGACTATCTTGAATTTGTTGAGTTTGTTAGTATCCTGAAGAAAGGCCGTTTTGAACTTATTTGATATTGTCCGCCCCGTTGTTTAGTGCTTCTTGAGTTTCCATTTCATCTTGACGACCAGTAAGTGATGATCTGATGATATATCAGCTCCTCTCTTGGTTCGCACGTCCTCTATAGTCCTCCTGAACGTTTTATTGATGCAAATATGGTCGATTTGGTTTTGTGTAGAGTGATCCGGTGAAGTCCATGTGGTTTTGTGTATGCGTTTATGTGGGAATATGGTGCCGCCTATGACCAGGTTATTGAGGGCACATAGGTTTGCAAATCTCTCACCATTTTCGTTCCTTTCTCCCAGTCCGTGTCGTCCCATGATGTCTTCATATCCAGTATTGTCTGTTCCAACCTCGTCATTGAAATCTCCCATCAGAATGGTCAGGTCCTTTGTTGGGCACTTCTCGACGATTGACTGCAGCCTATTGTAGAATTGATCTTTAGCGTCTTCATTGTAGTCGTTGGTAGGCGCATAGCATTGGATGATGTTCATTGAAATACCCTCTTTCTTTGTTTTAAACGAGGCTTTGATGGTCCTTGGTCCATGAGATTCCCATCCTATAAGCGCATTTTGCACTTGTTTGGACAGCATCAATGCAACTCCTTGTGTATGTGGTGCATTTTCTTCTTCATAGCCGGAGTATAACAGGAGCTCTCCTGTAGTTAGTCGTTGTTGTCCAACTTGTGTCCAATGTGTTTCACTGATCCCAAGTACCTCTAGGTTGTATCTTCTCATTTCTGCAGCAATCTGGAAGGCTCTTCCGGTGTCCCACATTGTACGAACATTTCATGTACCTAAATAAATGGTCGCTCTGGTTGTCAGAAGGGGCATCGGCCTCGTAACTTCCGAAGGGATTCGGCTTTCATCATGAGGCGTCATAATTCTTCTAAATGAAGATCTTCTGACTCCCAGGGCAGAGTTTAAAAGGTTTGAATAATTTTTTCTGGTTAGCGTTTTTTTAGCGAGTTAGTTTTCTACGGGATGGGGACGCTAACCCCATGCCCAACCCTCCTCCTTTATCCGGGCTTGGGACCGGCAGTAGCCCCCAGAGGGACTCCAGGCGGAGTTATATATATATAGTAAAACTTTCGTAAATTATTCTTCTTGTTCTAATAACCTATTTTTATTTCATTTTAGTCATAAATGTATGAACTGCTTGAGTACGAGGCTTCTATTCTTGTCGACATTCACCACGAAAGCTCATTGCTGGTGCTTGCTGATGGTCTGGGAATGGATACAATTATTTATAACACACTAAGGTTACATTCAGATCCTCACAACTTAGTGCTTGTTTCGAACTATCGTCTCCCAGAAGCTCGTTTTCTAACAGGTATACTGAAAAAGAATGGAATAATCCACTCTCCTGGAATAATTACTGCCGAGGTAAATAATAAGGAACGTGAGGCAATTTACAAGCGAGGTGGTGTGGTATTTGTCAGTTCTCGCATATTAGTTGTGGACTTACTGATGGAAAGAATGCCTGCCACTTTGGTTTCCGGTGTCTTAATTCTTCGAGCACATGAGCTACACGAGGCTTGTCAAGATAGTTTCGCTATTCAGCTTCTCAGAGAACGCAATCCGCAGTTGTTTATCAAGGCTTTCAGTGATAATTCATTGTCTTTGACTTCTGGTTACAATCATGCAGAAAGGATTATGTTGCAGCTGGGTATTTCAAAGCTTGTTCTTTGGCCAAGATTCAATATGCAGGTTGTTTCTTGTCTAAATGAAAGCCAACCTGATGTGGAAGAAGTTCGCGTAAGATTTTTTATACTATAACTATTGCTATTACATTTTGGAATGAAAACACATACCCACTAGCGATTATATTTGTAGGATGAATACATTTGTGCATCTCGATCTTATCTTTGTGGTTTGGTCGTTGATAAACTTACACTCAGAAGATCCTAAATTGGATTGATCTTGTATTTATACTTATTTCAACATCTTTAGAAATTTACTAGTTAATTATCTTACGTAATCTTTGTTTTATCAGGTAAAGTTGACTTCAGAAATGATTATTTGTCAGTCGTGTATACTTGACCTTATGAAGGCCTCATTGAAAGAATTATGCGATCAAAATCCAACACTAAATACGGACGATCTTACCTTAGAAAAAGCTCTGTTACCGAATTTCGACAGTCTTGTAAGTTGTTCATACCTTTCAACTTATCTTAAAGTATTGTCTTTAAAAGTCTGCAGTCAACATTTCGTGGATATTTCAAATAAATTACCATTTTTAAAACCAAAAGTGACTCTAGAGGACTAGTAGATACTTTTCGAATATCTGACCAAAAATTAAGTGGGCTGGTGAATTGAGAATCTTATATAACACGTTAATTACGTTATGTCTAAATTGTAAACCACTAATTTTATCTCATTATGGATGTAAAAATGTCTAGATGAACCTTACTAGAAATTTGTTGGGTATAGGAAATATATCGAGAATGGTGTATACCATATATTTTTGAGATGAATTGGGTTTAAGACCTGAGGTGGTAATGACGTGATGATAATTCATGTATCCGTGAAATTGCTAGTGTACTTGGGAAATATCGAGTTAGAGCATTTAAACCCAACCAGTAATAAGTGGTTTCACCTGACTTAAGTGTCTCGCGACTAAAATGCCGCAGACCAGTTTCATTTTTATACTATATTCATACTTTTAATAAAATATTAAAATAAGAGTAATGTGTTCTCAAAGTGATAAAGAACTGAGGACTTCCTGACTGTTAAATTGATATGGGTGGAATATTGTTTGCCAGTAGGTCGACCTCTGGGCAATGTAATATCACTTTTTTGTGTGGTCATGCATCTACTGCCGTGCATTGTTTCGTAATGTTTTTTTGCGACTCTGTCTGTTAGTGCGTCTTTACTCATTGTCATGTATAGCTAAATTATTTTAATAACTAATCTTGATCTAACAATAGTATAAAGACACAAGTTCTCTTTATTCGACTAAGGTTATTTATCCACCTTGTAAAATTGACACGTTAACAGTCAAGCCGACTTTTTCATAGTGGTAATAAGATTGAAGCCGATTACCACTAGATCAGCTGAAGCCAGACAGTGGGCAAATAAATGAGAAACACGAAAGTAAAGCCAGAAGCTTGCGATTCTACCACAGTGTGTAAGATTACATATATCTGTTCCACGAGAGAGCCTTTGTGTCATGAGTCCAGTAATGCTGAGATGCGAAAGTTGATCAGTTAGTAAATGTCATTTCCGGTAATATAAGCTCACGAAGCCTTGTCGTTTAATTGTCACAGCTCCATTTTCAACATGTATTTCTGTGATTAAAAATTCTTTTTTTCGAACGAAATATCAACTACTCACATTTCTATCTTTCATCCAATTAAATAAGGTCTCGTTATACGTTGACCCTGTATGGAATCAGCTCAGTTCAGTCAGTCGACGTCTTGTCGGAGATATTTCAAGCTTGAGGCGTTTACTCCACTTATTGATTGAAGGAGATGCTGTCAACTTTTTAACCAATATGGAAGGTTTACGTCAAGCCGCTTTAGCAAGTTTAGGCGTAACTCAAAAGAGTGAAATAAATTCAAAAAGGGCTGCTTCAAGAGGTTGTCCTAGTTGGTTTTTGATGGATCAAGCTGATCGTCTTTTGGCGTCTGCAAGGTCTCGTGTATATGCTGATTACAGCAAAAGTATGTTCCTACATTTTTTTAAACTACTGTAAGTACTTTCGTTGACAGCATTTTATGCTTTGTCAACTATTCATTTTCATATTCATCTAAGTTTTCAGGGATTAAAACAATTCGTAATTATTTAATTTCGAAATAACTTGTTCACAGTTAGCTTGATAGTATGGTTACATAGTTGTGTGTCAAAAATCTTTTCAGTAATCCTGGCTGATAGAGTTTGCGGAGTAATATCAGTGAGCTGAGATATTCGTCAATAAATATTCAGTTAAATTTTCAGTGTTTAAAGTGCGAAATCGTAATGGGAAATTCCAGGAGTTTATATATCATCTAAATTGATCTTTATTAGTTGGTGTTTTAAATTCCTTTTCATGGCTCAATGACCTTTATTTATCTCATTGAAATGCCATAATTTCATTTCTGTTAAGCGAGAATAACAAATTCGATAGAAAACAGTGAATTCGTTGAGAATTTCGTTGTCACTTATTCAGCAACGTATAAGGTAAAATAAATAATAGATATAAGTGATTAAATATTATGACATAACTAACAGTGTATTTTATTAACAAACCAATGGAAGCCAACAGTATGTAATCCGACCGTTTGATTAAGTGTTAAAAACTCAATCGTCTTTTTATTTGCAGTATCCTAAAAGATATTCTGTTCGTTGGATCATATCTACAACGCAAAATTCATCATATATTTGGTCAGTTTGTCATCAAATACTTCTTGTGGATGTTTGGTTTCCGAAGTAAAATTTATGTTTGTGGACGCGTGAAAATATTGTATCCTTAAAATGCACCACAGTGAATTCTTCCATATTGAGCCTAGATACCATTCCGTTCACGAGTCATTGTTAGGAGATGGATCGTTTCCTGAAAATTCACTCACAAACGACCAATAAATTGATGTCATATCAGTAACAATGATTAAATTCTCAAACCGCTCGCGTACATTTACATCAGGTGCTGATTCTAAACACATAATAAAAAATTCTATTAATCCCAACTAATTTTCCCGTCATCATCGGTGAACAAACCTTTTGTTTTTCTTTCATGCTGTAAATCGTTTTGAACTTGATCAAGAGTCATTCGGAGGCTTAGTACGAGTTTGGTTGAAGTGTACTTCAAGAAGTATTTACGTTGGGTTCATTACTATGTTGATATTTTGATCCACGTAGCTAGTAACCGAGTCATAGCATCCGCGATAGGTATTTATGACGCAGTGACAACTTATCTAGATGTGAAGTTGGCTTTTTAATAGTACATGAAACTAATGAAGCTGTAACGTAGTGATTACGTACAACAACATTAAATCCTTCCTACTAAATCCTGAAACTCATCATCAGCGAGATGAATTCCCTGTAATATAACGAAGTTTTCTATGATCTTACTGCTAATGCTGTTTTTGATTCTTGATCCAAGCATTATGGAAATTTGTTTTACTTTGAGTTTGCTCATCAAGGTGCCACACGAAAATCGTCGCTATTTCCATGCAAACTGGGTATCACTTAACAGGAAGGTACTCATTTCATATTACCATATCAACTACGTGGTCGTAATTTCAAAGACATTATTCCAAATGTTTGAGACCAGTGTTCCCTATTTAAGACATGGTATCAATCCATAAAATACAAAGCGAAAAACTAATGACTTCGTTACGTATGAAGGCATTGCTAATCTATAAAGTGAGTACTTTAAATTACTATCTTTTATGGATGACCAATCCAAGTGCCTAATTTTATCCGTGAACTCCAATACCCTAAAGATGCGGATATTGACATGCATCTATTGAGTAAGATTGAACAGGACTCCCAAATAACACCGTACAGTTACTGATGTCAACGACTTATAAACTTTAAAAGTGACGAGGAAATCTTTCAGCACCCGGGAAAACTCAGTTCAGTACATATAGTTTTAGCTTCAAATCATTCACCTAGCCAGTCCTCCCGAACCAACAACACAAAACAGCCTCCATTAACATGTCGATATTGCAGTGGATAGCATTTTTACCACTTTTGTTATTTCAAAAACAACATTGCAATCAATAATGCAGCGAAATCGGACACAGAAATGATTACTTTGAATAACGTTGCAACATAACCAAATTTACTGTGAGGCGAAGAACTCCCCCCCCCAATCCAAGCGTGACACTAATTCAAGGATCCGCTAGGGGTATAAATTTATCGCTAGCAGCTGGTGGATATATTACTTACTATCAAATAGACATTACATATATCATGGTCGTGTCGACCGAACTGTGAAAATACGTAAGCTGAGCAACATTCCACGAAACGCGTCAGGTTATGAAAGTGCAATGGGGTATCGCACCTCAAGATATTACTAAATTGTGATGCTACATATCAATCGGAAACAATCTCTAAATTATGTTATATTATTGGTGTGAAGGTAAACTTACTTGGTCTCTACTGAATTAGTTCTCTAAGGTTCCGCAGTCTGTTCGGATGTTGACGATAATTTCATTTTCTTATCCATATGGGTCTCATTCTGGTACCCATTTGTACTAGTATTTATGTATTTTAAATAAACAAATAAAAATGATTACTTTTTTGCTACCGCATCCAAGCAGATTATGTGAGTTTAGTATTTTGATTGGCTACAGGAAGTAGCAGATAAGGTAATAGCTGCTTCGAATGAAACACAGGTACCGTTAAGTAGTTTGGATTTTTGTTCATTAGCACAAGTCGTCTTTAAATACTTCAGGAAACTCTATAATTTGATTTGGTAAGTCTGCTATTAAAGTTTTTTGTACTTGAAGGTATATATTATTTAATAACTGCAAATATCGTCCCAACTTACTTATTCAGTCCAGACCATATAAGTGCACGTTAGCTTCAGCAATATAACATGATTCAAATGTGATTACACCTTGAAATGTATTAAAATGAAGTGTTACCATTTGATTCGATCCAGAAAACCTATGGGATAAAAGGGTTAATATCTTGTTGATATTTTAAAACGTGGTTTTTTGTAACCTCCCCGTTTGTTTCCGAATTTCTAGTTTTCTCTCTTCATAAGTAATTATCATCTAAGTATCTTAAACTGATAGTAGTTGCTGATATCACAATTAATTGATTCTAAATTATTTTAACGGCTATGATATTTCAACCAAAAAGCTCTAGTTTCCCCATAACTTTTCAATAGTTCATCCATATAGGGGCTATTAATTCGTAGTTCACTCAAAGTAAGTAAAATAATCACTTGTTTTTTTATCAAAAAAAATTATCATAGGATTTATTGTTTTGTAATTTTTATTTTTTCGACTTATACTTTTATAGAATTATTAAATGTTGAGATTAGTCCTAAATGGAAAGCACTTGTTGAACTACTAAAAGAAATCTATACCAACACAACTGATCAAACATTAAGTAATACCATATTAATTCTTGTCAGTCGTGAAAATACAGCAAGGTATCTTGAACGTTATTTACAACGTGGAATACAATCTATTAAGAAGTTTCTTATTCAAACTTCAGATTTACCTGAGTTACAGTCGCATAAAATACTACAGAAGGTAATGTATACAGTATGAAATAAAATTATGTATATAATTGACGATTGCATCTCAGTTAAATGATTTTGTTGTTGAATAAAAATAAAGAGAAACCAGGGATAATTCGACGAAATCAGTTACTTAAGCTGTACATTTGTAGTTGTTCGGTGAACATGTCACTAAAAAGATAGAAAAGATCTCATCGTAAAGTGATTCGAGATTTCAAGTATCAAGTGAGATTGCATAATAATCAGTGGGTTAGAGGAAAATAGGAGAATGAACATAATTTCCGGGTCAGAATTATGAACGATAATCGTTCATTTGACAGATATGATGAAGAATGAAAAACATAAAGGTCGTAATAATAATAGGACAATAATCATGAAAAGTTTGTTAAAGGATGATAATGACTGATTACAGTTTGAAATTACAAAGCAATAATAAAAACAAAACAAGACCAAAACATACTGCAGAAGAGAGTTACGAACAAGGAAGTATAAGAGGTTGAACGCATCGTTTTCGCATTCAGAGTTCGGGCTTGAATTGGTGAATTTCACGATCAAACGTTAATTTTCAGTATAGAATTGTGGAGATTGTTGAGTTCCGCTGAAATCATGGTGGACCACCATTGATCGGTTCATGATTTCAACGAAATATATATTTATTTGGCCAATATACACAACTACTAGTATTTTGTTTTGTGGTAGTTTTATTTCCCTCCAAATTATCATTCTAACTTTCTTGTGCGCTAAATTTCTCTTTTTGTTTTTCTTTGTAAAAAAAACGAAAAATAGTCTGCCAAATTAATGAATCCGAAATCTTCTGGAGAATCATCCGTAACTACTCTAACACAAATTTGCAAAAAATATAAATTTGATGAATTGTGTGGAGATAATGATGACACTTCATCCTCATCAGAGGAAAATTGTAAAATGGATAATACTGAAAAAATCACTAACAATAATAATCGCTTGCCTTTAGGATGTCATGAAGTTAGCATTCATCCTAGTTTATTAATTTCATCCAATATAAAGATGTCTAATTCACTTAAAATTATTATACGTGTAACACCAACATTTTCAGGTGATGAAAATAGTCAGTTTTATGGGTCAGCAAAAGATCACCAAGATGAGTCCGATTTATTTGTACAACAATATGGTTATCGATTATCATATATTTTAGATGTACTTCAACCTAATTATGTGATATTATATGAGCCCAAATTATCATGGGTCAGAGAATTAGAAGTGTACAATGCACGTCTTCTAATTCAACATTTTTCAAAAAGTGACTCTTCAAGTAACATCAGAGAGCTTAATAATTCTTTACCTTCATTAAAAATATATTTTGTACTGTATGAAAATTCCGTTGAAGAACAACGATATTTAACAAGTTTACGTAAAGTACGTTGATTTTCAGCTCATTTATTTTTCTCAGACATTTATCATTTTTATAACTTAGTTGTGCAAAATATCAGTAATTACTCTTCAGAGTGGACTTTTTAAATATACGGTGTGGTTTCATTTTAGGTAAAAACATGTAACACCAAACAATTCTTTTTACGGACTCGACTGTGTAGCATAACTAGTTGTGAAGCTACAGAGATTAACACGTAAATTTAAGATTCCCTACGTTCTTTTCGTATAACAAATGTGTGGGTGACCTGAGAAATAACATTGAACATGAATATGGTCGAAAACCTCAAACTAAGAGAACTTTGATTTACTGTTCACGGTAATTAATGGGGATGTCTTCATTACAAATTTTGTAATACCTCGACAAAAATAATGAACATAGTCACAAATGGTTATGTAAATATTATAGATGAGAAAATATTATGGTAAAGTAGATCAGTTCAAAAAAGGACAAGATCACTAGTAAAATTAACTAGTTTTTCTAACACTTCCGAAACAATTTCCCTTAATGTATTCTATAGCATGTATCCCTCTAGCCGAAAAGTACGTGTTGAAATGTCTGAAGGTGTCACTTCTATTATCTGTTAATTTGACTAACTGCATTATCTCACCCGCTGTCATACATATATTTTTATCCGTACTTTTCCCCACGGCCTGTTATAGCAGACATAAATTTTGAGCGCTGCTGTCACGTCCACACTTAGGTTTCAGACGCATCTTAATGTTGGAACTGTAGCGTTCAAGGTGGTCTTTCACTTTTTTCCTATTCTCACCTATCCACTAGGTTGTCTATTTAATGCAGTTCCGCCTCATTTCAAGTAGGCAAACACCAGAAATATTCTGTTATTTCAATTTAAACATCTTATTTTCGAACTTCGAGTAATATTCGTTAAAGTGTTGTTACTACAATGTGTTCAGCTTGGCTGTTTTCTTGGATGTTGTTAGTCGAATTTTTGTTACTCGAAGGTCAATTTATTATGGTCGACTGCCTTTAGTATTCTATTCTATAGTCATTAATAGCTTATTTCAGACCTCTTTTATGTGCATCAAAATCGTTACCTGATTTATTGAACAACAGGAAAGTAAACTGTATGTATAATCTGTTTTCTCTTCCAAAGGAAAAAGAAGCATTTGAATCTCTTATTCAGCTAAGTAGCACTCTTGTTATACCAAAAGATACAACAATACCATATGGAAAATTACACGCAGGTGATAATCAAGCAGTGTCTCGTGTAATTGTAGATATGCGTGAATTTCGTAGTGAGCTACCAGCACTTTTACACAGAAAAGGATTAAAAGTAAGAAACCTACTTTCACACTTTATTTGTACGTATAGTTCTGTTAATAATATTGGATAGTTCTTTTACTTAAATAGGATGTAAATTGATGAAAAATACTTACAGCTCAGCATTTGGGTGATTAACTCGTGTTGCTTACTAAGTTTGTGTCTGTGATAGTAAATGTTCTAATGTTATAAAAGTCACCATCACTAGCTGAAGTTCTTAGTAGATCACATTAGCCAATCGTCATCACTGAATACTGGAGTATTCAGAAATCAAGTGTTCATGTATGTAATCTTACAGCTAAATATTTACGAATTCAGAGTTGTTAACTTCTGATTGACGTAGAAGGGGTTTATATATGTAAATCAGTATGAAATATTCACTGAAAGTGTTAGAATTTTATTGACGAAGAAACTGACTATTCATTAATAAAATCAGAAACTCCAGAATTGTTTGAAATGAGTTAACAGTTTCACTCCGTTATATACGATCATTTTCGCATAATTTGTCAGTCACAGTGAAAGATCATATAACATAAAACGATAACGATATACACATAACCTCTAAGTACCAAATTTCTAAGATATAGAAGAATTCTTTGTATGGATTTTTCCGTGTGAGCCTATTATCTATGAAAAGTAAGGAGACATCAAAAATACTTAAATTACCTGGACTCAGAAAATTATTTTGTAGACAAACTTTGTGATGTGTTTTATAATACATAAGAATTGAGCTTTCGTTAAACTTTTAACCAGTCGTTGAAAATAATTTTGAAAGTGCCTTATGATTTTCTCATAATCTTTGCTGTTAACAGGACATTATTATCCTGTTACGGAATTTTTCATTGTTTAAAAAATTCCATTCCAAATGCAGTCGAATTGTTTATTTTCAAGAAATGTTTTCTATGAGATGATTGTTCACCATTAAACTAGAACTATCATGAAGTATCAGTTTCGACACTCATATTCATTGATTTAACTGTAATTTCTGTTCATACATAATTTGTTCTTTTTGAATGAAATTAATTAATCCTATTTGTTTGCTTATATATATATAGGTAGAACCTATGACTTTAAGTATTGCAGATTATATTCTTGCTCCGCATTTGTGTGTTGAAAGAAAATCTGTTAGTGATCTCATTGGTTCTCTTAACTCTGGACGACTATATCATCAAGCTACTGCAATGTCACGTCATTATGCAAGTCCAGTTCTCCTAATTGAATTTTCTATACATAATAAAGGTAATCATCATTTGTTCATAACTATTTTAATAATAAAGCAGCAGAATAACTGAGTACGTGGTTACTGATTAGATTATGTATCACGCTTACCATATGAGAACCTGTTGTGTCACCTGGTTACAGAGACTAAAGTTTAGTCGGGAGCTCCAACTCCACTTCTGAAAACATCAACAGAATCAGTGTTTTACAGTTACAGATTATTCTGAGTAATTGAGAGCTGTCTATTCGATATCCTAGATCTTTCCAATGTTTGGGAATTTCATTGGTAAAAATCTTTTTCTATTTCCAAACATGCTCCTAAAACTGAGGATTTTAACTCCTAGTTATTCCTGTATATGTTTTTGAATATGTGTAAATTGTATGGCATCTGGTAAGAACTATCCAACTTCTTAAACTTCTGTACATGAATCTTGTTTGCAATATATAACCTGGTTGTATAATATAATAAACCACAATGCGTCTTAGATACTACTATGTATGATGATAATTTCAAATTGTTTAGTCTAAGAAATTCAGATCCACCACTTACTTCGAGATGACGAACTCGTTTGTGTCGTTAACCGTCATAAAAATATGCAACTTGCAATCTGTTCCCTGTAAGTAAAGTACTTGGTTGAACCTATATTATTCTCTTATTTTTATCAACAAACAATCACTTTTTATATTCCTTTTCCGTTCTAACATAGTTTCTAGTTTAAATCATGGGAGTACAAGAGGATTTCATGGAAGTGAAGCAGTTGGTTTTACCTTGTACACTGGGCGACATGCAATTAACCCTAGTTCAGAGTTTAATTCCCATCATCTTTTATCTAAACTTGTTTTGCTCACTATCCACTTTCCTAATCTACGAATATTTTGGAGCATGACTCCCTATTGTACTGCAGAATTGTTTGCGGAGATCAAACTTGGTCGACCAGAACCAAGTGTTGAAAAACTTCCTCAGGTATGAGCTTTTTTCCAGAGTTACTGATGCTTTTAACGTACTTTGAAGATTTAGATCCATAAGGATAAACATTGTTTTTTGTAGCAATTATTAGTGTCTAGTATGTTTTTATCGCGTCTATGTTTGTTAACTTCTTGATCAGTTTACCCACTAATATACAGGAGACAAGTTGTTTAAATCTAGATTAAGTTTTTGACATGATAAGCTGACTGGCTCAACATTGAGGCTAGAATCGCGTGAGTTCGAAGTGAGACTAACAGCCTTGGGTGGAGAGACGAAAAATGTTCTACCACCTGATTGGTCGACAAGTGCGCACAAGCGAGAAGACGAGTCAACTGGGACACTATTCGATTTATCATCGATTCCGATTTAGGTTAGTGCAAAAAGATACATGAATAGATGACTAACATGACCACAACGCACAAACATTTAGAAAAATACGATTACGTCCAAAACTGAGGATTAGGGTAGAAAAAAGAGTACAAAAGATTACGTTTAAATTACAATAGCTTTGGAACAGAAAAGGCTATGGCAGTGAATCATACATCAAACGAAAACTTATGGTCCGTGAAATAAACTAGGGACAAAACTGAATGTTGACGTTTTACAAGCTTTGAATGACGTAACATAACGTCATTTCAGGGTTTTGGAGGTCATTAAGTTTTTGATGGAGATCGTGAACCGATTGATGTTAGGCCACTATTGAAAACCTGGAAGCACTAGATGGCCGTTTCGTTCTATTGTTGGACTTCTCAGCAGTGCGCATCCACGATCCCACTCGTGGGGGTCGAACTCAGGGCCTTTAGTCTCGCGCGCGAACGCTTGACATCTAGACCATTGAGCCGGCATCCAACGGTGTTAATGTCTAACCTCAACCAATCCATGAAATTGCGCGACCATCTTCCACTGTAGATAGATAGGTAGGTAGATACTTGTCTCTATCCGACTAGGATTAACTCCACTGGTCACGACCTATCATTAGAACTAGAACCGTTGGATGCCGGCTCAGTGGTCTAGAGTTCAAGCGTCCGCGCGCGAGACTGGAGGCCCTGGGTTCGAATCCCGCGGGCGAGATCGTGGATGCGCACTGCTGAGGAGTCCCACAATAGGACGAAACCGCCGTCCAGTGCCTCCAAGTTTTCAATGGTTTAACATCAATCGGTTCATAAAATAACTTACTCAAAATATCTTGTTTTTTGTCATGGCTTCTTATTTCTCTGTTCAAATGAATGCTTTACTCTTTCAGGATGGTGATCATTTAGAGGATCATAATGTTGAGGCTGTTGACATGCTATTAAAATTACCAGGTGTATCATGGAAAAACTACCGGCGCATAATGAGTCATGTTTCTTCTTTATACGATTTGGTTAACTGCAGTATGGAAAGGTTAGCAGAAATTTTGGATAGCAGGTATGGCCGTTTACTGTTTTTGACATTCTGCTTTTTCAAAATACTTCTAACATACGAAGACTCATTCATTGCTTCAATTTCGTTATCTCACGTGGCTCTCTGAGTAATGCCATGTGTTAAGTCACCAATCAGAATCCTAATCCCAATTCGGTCTAGTGTGTACTATTAACTCAATATCCTAGTGCCCTCGAACTGACCAATCACATGCCCGACTAGCGCTATTGATTTTCGGCCGACAGTCCCCACTGCTCCATTATTTGCGAGCCTCTCTCCACGCCCCACTTTGAGACCAAAAGTAGTAGCCAGCCTCCACTATATTTGTATTTTAAACAGATATGGTTTAGATACAAACATACCACACCGCATCACACCATAAAATAAAGAAATAGTAGCTATACAAAAGTGACTATGAATAGGGGAGACTGTAAGTAATAAATTGGCAACAAATTTAAGAATATTAAGTCGTAAATGAGTAATTAATGTATTAACTGAAAGCTTATAGTAAATGGAATAGGAATACACAGTAATCCAGTTGTCTAGTGACTATACAACAAAACTAATATTAATATAATAAACCAGTCCCAATTCTTACACTATTTGTTCCGTTATAATTAATTTCAAATCCTTTTTGTTCTCAAAAGTGGTGTATGATCGTCATCAAAATACATCTCAACTAGTATATAACATTATGAGGATTTAAAATTAACGAAGATACAAAAATGTGGTGGAAATAATCAGAAAAAGACAAAGCTATACAAGGTACATTCAGCAGAACTAATGTGTTTTTAAAGTTCTGATGTCCGTACAGAACAAGGTAGAGCTAGCTTAAACAGTGGTCTTTGTCATCTTAAAGTGTTGTCGGATATTATTTAAGTCATCAGAGTTTCACAATATCTACTATTTTATGTAGGAAATTAGTAACAAATATTATCCTAACAAACTATTCTCCACTGTGTATCGCATCAATGGACATATGTATGTTATGGTTATCTTTAAAGATGAGCGTGATAGTAACTTCACCGAGCTAAAATGTAATGATTCTTGAAAATGCACTGGCAATATATCCGCTGTCACGCGAATTCCAGTACTATGAGCTACTTCAGGATCTGTATGTCATTGAATAAATTGCCAATTTCCAACTGTACAGTACAGAATAATACGGTTAAATTAGTTGTTACAATATTTCATGATTCGTAAAGGTTTTCTTCTGCTATCACCTCAGCTTCATAGTTTTCGATCACTCTACTTTATGATAACCACCCATCACTTGTGTGTACATTCTTTAAAGATAATTTACCTAATTCTTCCTTATATTCAGTATTGACTTATGAGAATCAGCAACTATCGTGAAGTTACAAGACCACCAATTAAGAATTTTAATAGTCAGGCATTCAGTCACAACTAATAAGAACTTTTCTGAAAATTTCAACCTTGTGATTGCAACTAATAACAAGCTACATTTCTCAGCGTAACGATAGCGTTAATGTTCAACTATAACAAATTTCCAGGGTCAACCACTTAAGATGTCAAATTTTAACTGCAGAGCTGCCAGGTGAATGTGATGAATATTAAGAGATATTCACAAATTTAAGACTAAGCTAATCATCTGCATATTTAAAACTTCCGCAGATGCATGGTGTCCGTCAATGCTGTCCACTTTCTCCATTTTTGTTTAACTTCATCATAGACCTATTGATGGAAATAACACTCTCGTCGACTGAATTCTCGGGTATTGATCTCCTTCCAGGAGGTCCACTTATCGACTTAGAATACGCAGATGACATAGTCCTGTTTGGTGAAGACGCTGACAAAATGCAGAGTCTTCTGGTAGCACTAAGCAACAATGCCAGAATGTTTGGGATGCGCTTCTCTCCCTCTAAATGCAAGTTGTTGCTTCAGGACTGGTCTGCGTCAACACCTGAACTAAGGATAGGGAGTGAAGTAGTCGATCGCGTTGACAACTTCACTCATGCTGGAAGTGTGATCAGCCCTAATGGGTTGGTATCGGACGAAATCTCAGCACGGATTCGAAAAGCTCGTTTGGCTTTTGCCAACATACGTCACCTTTGGCGAAGGCGAGATATCCGTCTATCAATAAAAGGACGAGTATACTGCGCGGCAGTTCGTTCTGTTTTAATTTACGGCAGCGAAACATGGCCCTTAAGAGTAGAAGACACCCGTAAGCTACTAGTATTTGACCACAGATGCCTTAGAAATATTGCTGGCATCTGCTGGGATCACCGGGTAAGTAATAGCGAGGTTAGACGCAGGGTATTAGAAAAAGATGGTAAATCAATTGATGAGGTTATGAATCTTCATCGACTGAGATGGTTGGGCCACGTATTACGTATGCCTGAACACCGATTACCACGACGTGCAATGCTAACCAGGGTAGGGGATGGTTGGAAGAAAGTTAGGGGCGGCCAAACCAAAACGTGGCATCAGTGCTTGAAGACACTAACTTCTAGTCTGAGCCATGTTGGTAGATGCAGACTACTTGGTTGGGATCCGCGTGACTTTCGTAACCAATGGTTGGAGACTCTTGGTGACATGGCTCAGAATCGATCACAATGGCGTCGGTGTATACACTCCCTGTCTTCCCTTAAACTAAGAGACTAAAATCACTTCATTCTTTCTGTCTACAAACTAATTCTTTCTTCCTATACTATATCCTTATTGCAACCTTTGACCTAACCACTCCTATGAATCCGGTGTTCATCTTGCTGTGCTAATGAGGTATGGCAACCTGGACCGATGCACATATGTGCCTGGTCCTACGTTGTAGCTGACTGACTGACTGGAGTATTTTCTATCTAGGCTCTGCTCTAAGCGGTTGATGTCGGACGTCAAAAAACTCGTTTCTATTGTTCAACAAATTGGTTTCTTCTACAAATCAGATTTGAGTCCTATACTAAATGGATTACCCCATGTATGACTGAATTTTATCGTAGATGTTGGTATCTTCAAAACCAAACGAGTGATATCCTGTGATGCATTCTAAGATTTTCTGTTAGACTGACTAAATATCGTTGTATTATGATAGGGAGAGCCTAAGGTGGGAATCAACATTTCAGGTACCTTGGTCAGTGAGGTAGAAATATACTCATTGAGATATATGGTTCTGCGGGTAGCAGCAGTTATGTTTATTGTCGATTCGTATACTATCAATGGAAATACATAATGATCATCGTATCAGAATTCAGTCGGTCATATCATGTTAAATAACCTTTAATTTTCACTTGTGGCAGAATTAGTTTACGTAAAATTATTACATTGTGATTGACTTCTTCAGTGCAACTTGGTGGGAATGTTTGTAATTGTCCCAATTATGCTTTGTTTTAATCATGTTCATTTAATTTATTTTGAGCTGACAGTCAACATTATTTTCGTAGTATTTTCCGTTTTAATAATAGTTTATACATGTAGTGTCCAATTCCAACTTGATCTATTTGTTTAAATTGTTAATTTCCAGTGAATCTGCTGTTAAACTGCACAATTTCCTCCATTCCAAATGTAGTGGCTTAGTTTCGAATGCCTCGACAGATATTGCTGATGAATCATTCAAGTGTCAAAACAGACGTAAAGCCAGACTAAATTTATCAGCTTGTGTAAGAACACGTCGTGGGAAAGGTTGTGGGCCTATCAAAATGTAGCCCGATTTAATTAATAATGATAAATATTTGTAACAATCTTGTACATAAAATAAAATTTAAGTTCCTATTCTAACCATTTTTTAATGTTCATATGGCAACTTATTTGTTACCATATTGCTCTATCAATTCGAAATATTTCTCATGCGTGCTGACTTGTTCACCGGAATAAGGGAAAATGCTCGGCATACTCTTTTCATCTTTCATGTACACGGTGTGAAGAATAAGATAATGATAAATTTCCAATCTCCAATACAGAAGGAACATGCCTTTTCACGGGAAACATTTTTACTTACCCCATTACATTTATGTATTTTTTGGCGAATATGTTCGTCATAATGTCACAAGTACTGATTATATCCGAACTCAATATAGCAGAACATAACGACATGGAGCTTTTTAGAACACCGCATAGCTTGTATATACCCAACAGGTATTTGGCTTAGAACTTTTTGTCATGCTGTGCAGAAGTAGAGAAGCTAACACTAAGTCTAACTAGCAAGGAGGTAGAAATAGTGAGGGCAATAGAGTGACAAAACTAAAGTGAATTTTTAATTCTGCGTCTTTGACCTGCTTGATTAGCATCAGTGTTGAAGCATTTTCAAGAATCTCCCACCTCGATAATCATGCACAACTGGTATGTGCCATATTACTAAGTGCAGCCAAAACATTGTGGACGCTTTCGTGAAAATAAATTACGCAGATCTCTAAGTTTTTGAACGACCACAAACCCACTGGAATAACGACATTGAAGCATGTATCCAACCAGCATTATTGAGAAAATAGGATTTTATAGATTCATTCCAATTCCGAAACAGTTATTTAATTGGTCCGCAAGCTTCACTTGATGTCAGAAATATATCAAGGTCACCATATAATGTTGATTCTTACTCTCTGACTGAATAATACCGTGTTCTTTCCAAAACCTGGATGAAACAGTTGTCTAGTGTTTCCCTAACCGATGCCATCCTGAAATGGGGGTATATTTTCACTTCTCACAACAGAATGATGCTCCTACACACACTATAGTTCTTTCTTTCGAACATTACCTAAATTCAGTTGGATAATACAAATAAATGTTTCCTAATTACATTAACCAGTCAACTACTAAAGGCCTGTTTATTTGACGAATTTTACCCGTAGATCTCTAGAATCTTCCCATGTATAAACTATAAATACACTGACGTTTCGCTTATTGTGCTTTTTACTACCATCTACCCTTGTTATTTAGAATATGGTTTTTTTCCTGTCCAACTGTGTTCTGATTTGGGGACTTGTCGAGTGAATTGGTGTTCACTGATGAATTTAAAATAGTTCATCCAAGAGGTTTAAGATGTGTTCTGGTGTATGAGATAGCAAAAATACGGTCAGTTTCTCCTTGGATTTCAACTAAGTCTCAGATAGGAAACAAACTGATTATGCCCCATGCTTGTGTCCGTAACCTCAATTTATCAAAGATTCAACAGTTAATTACGTGAATGAAACTGGGCATTATGTGTCGTATAATTCCAAACGTGTAAGGAGAATGATCATTCAAAATCAAGAGCTAACAGTGAGGGAATGGATCGATACGTTGATATAGGACTATACTGACTAGTTTTTAATGTGATAGTATATCTATCCCACACTATTACATATATGCCCTGAATACCCGGTTTTTATGACAAGAGTGAATAATCAGCCAACGAATAAAATGTCAGATGCAACACTATTCCTGTCTGCAGCTAGAACGGAACAAAAAAATTGAGACGTCTGCGCCTACTTTATGGTTAATTTCTGTGGTGTTTGTATGAAAACATGATGGTTGATTTCGAATTCTAAATCTAATACGTTCATTTGTACTCACCTAGTTTTATTAGGCTTAAGTTGAACTGTTTCGGGAATTCCTATTTAATACAGTTTTTTGCGGCATACATAGTGGCAAATATAAGTTACATTTGAACGGCTAGTTCTCGTCGGTGAGTGTAAACCTCACCCCCATTGGCAATTTTAACCTTGTACCTGGTGACCAGCTAAAAATGAAGTTGGGATTATTATCTACACCATCGTAATTTATGATCGAGGGCGTGTTTCGTTAAATGTTGTTTTTGATGTCTTTCATGAAATGGATGATAGTCCAGTTATAAAAGTTAGACTAACTGAAATCTTAGCCATAGTCTGTAAACTGGACGTAATCCCATTTGATTGACCTCGGTCGCTGATCGTCCAAGTTTATGAGGAAGGACAAATATTCTCTTATGACAATCACAAGGGAATCAGTTCAACTAATATAGTATCTATAATATTGAAGATAATGATACTTCGAGGTCTAACTAAAGCTTGTGAAGAGCGAACTCGAAAAAAACAAGCCGGTTGCAGACCTGGACGTTGATGTATAGACTAAATACTCATCCTTCGGCAGATTCTGGGATATAGACATACTTTTCAACGTCAAAGTATAGTTGTGCTCCTTGACCAAAAGACGGCGTTCGACTCTGTTGATCGAGAGATTTCGTAACAGTGTGTCTTCGAAAGGCCTACCAGAGAAGAACATTATTCTTGTAGAACACTGGTGGAGTCAGAGTTTATGGTGAACTGTCATTGGTTATTTCAAGTGGTGTTCGTCAAAGTTGTTCGTTCTCTTCACTTTTATTTAACTTTGTCATAGACATTTGTTTAGAGATGACACTCGTCTGACTTTTCAGGAGTTGATTTTCTACCAGGAGATTCACTTATTGACTAAAGATACACAAGTGATATAGTTCTGTTTGGTGAAAACGCTGACAAAATGTAGCCTACTGACCACCTTAAGCAACAGTGTAAGCATGTTTGGAATGGGGTCCTCTCATTCCGAATTTATGATATTACCTCAGGATTGGCTTGAGTCATCGCCTAAATTGATGCTCCACTTATATTAAAAGTCTCGTCAGTACTGATGCTACAGTGTGACGAAATCTCGGCACAAATTCAGATAGCTCGATTAGCTTTTGCCAACTTGTGTCACTTGTAGCATAAGTGAGATATTCGTCTAACAACTAAAGGGCGAGTTTACTGTGCAGCACTTTGTTGTGTTCTCCTTTATGAGTATGGGTTCATCCATTCTTTGTTTCCCCAAGAAATTCTAAGTCCATAACTTTTTTTATTCTGTCAATTTATATTTACTTTTCGAGTCGTATACTCGATGCCTGATCTTTCCCAATACCTCTGATACTGTTAATACATCTACTACCCCTAGGATTTGGCCTGACGACTTCATCTCTCTGTGTTAATGGGATATGGCAACTTGAACCGATGTACATAAGCACAGGTTCTACGTTGTGCATGACTGACGATGAAGATATCACACCATCATACTAACGATCTGTCAAGTGTAGGACAGTCAGTTTTGAAGGAAAAAAATAACAACATAGCAAAAGACATAGCGTCAATAAATTCTATGTTAGAAAGCATCTCGAAACATCTACAATTGAGTGACAGGATAAAGGAAAACATAACATAGCCGCAATGACGGACTAAGATACTGTTCGATGAATTAAACACGTGAAGTTTATTCCCAGCGGCTCCCGTTCTATATTTTAACATCCATAGATAATAGCCTATTAGTCAGAACTATAAAAAAGTGGGGAAGATACGTGAAATAAACTCGTTTCTCTCCTTTGCGTCAGATACTCTGTCTATTACGCAGGACACCAACACAACTCTGATCAAGAACAGGTGACTGACTTGACCAGCATGTGAATATATTTCAACAACTGATTATCATATAATTTAAGGTAGGGAAATATATGTAACACATCAAACACCTGTCAGACTATCTACTAGCGTGACATCCAATCGTTATTTTGCTCGCCCACATATCAATATGTTCTCATTGGCAATTATTAATACTTCGAGTAACTATTGAATAGACTAGCTCCATTGAATCCACTGGAGAGCGAAGCAGCATACATAGACCTTCCTGTAGATATCACTCCACCAACGATCGAAGAAATCAGGAAGGCTATCAGATAAATCAAGAGCGGGAAAGCAGCAGGAAGTCAGACATTGGAGTAACTGAAAACATGCTTCACCTTCTATTCAAGAAGATTCGGAAAAACTGCAGATGGACTAGAAAAAAGGACAACTCATAAAGAGACCAAAGAAAGGAGATCTGAGTAAATGTGGAGTCTACAGCGACATCACACTACTGGCAGTACCAGGCCAAGCTTTCAACGTAGTGTTGCTGAGCCGGATGAAAGACACAGATAACCTGGACCTTCTATCCCATACACACGAATAAATGCAAGTGAAAACAACTAGTGTAGCAGCAGCCTCTGCATCAGTAGACCTCAACATACACAAGGGGAAATGCAAGATCCCTAAATACAACACGACGAACACCAACCCAATCACACCTGATGGAGAAATTCTGCAAGAAGTTGAAACTTTCACGTATCTGGTCAGCATCATCGACGAACGTGGAGAATTGGACGCAGACGTAAAGGCGAGGATTGACAAAGCAAGGGCCGCATTCCTACAATTGAAGAACATATGGAACTCAAAACAACTTTCAACCAATATCAAAGTGAGGATCCTCAATACCAACGTCAAGGCAGTTCTACTGTACGGAGCTGAAACTTGGAGAACTACAACAACTACCATCAAGAAGGTAAAAGTATTTATAAATGGTTGTCCACGCAAGATACTCAACATCCATTGGCCAGATACCATCAGCAACAACATTCTGTGGGTGAGGACAAACCAGCATCCAACTGAAGAGGAAATTAGGAAAAGACTTTGGAGGTTGATACGGCATACATTGCGGAAATCACCAAACTCCATCACAAGGCAAGCACTAACTTAAAATCCTGAAGGGAAACGGAAAAGAGAAAGGTCGAAGAACACACTGCGTCGGAAATCGGAAGCAGATATGAAAAGGATTGCTCAGGACAGGGTCCGATGTAAAGTACTAGTGTGTGGCCTATGCTCTCGCACGAGGAGTAACAGGCGTAAGTAAGTACCTGGTCACAATAAAAGGTAGTCCTAACCACTAAACTGAATTTGTCATTTATTGATAGCAAGTCGTAGAATGTATATGCTATATCACTCACGTGATGAATAGTGGCTATTGTTACCAACATAGGCAAGATCATAACGAGATAACGCCTAATTTTGTTCATAGAACGAGTATCACTATTGTCCCTCTAGAAATTTGAGTTGTACTCTATTATTTGAAAGGTAAACATGTATGTCTGACAGCAATTCTGATGTCAAGCTAATTTTCATTTGACCGTGTAGATTACCATTATATCTCTCCGATACTTGCCATTATTTTGGATATACATGATTAAAGACTCATATTTAGAAAGTAAGTAAATTTTTATTTACCTGGTTTTAGTATGGAAAGTAGGTTGATCAGCCATGAGATCAATAGGAAGATTTACGACCTCATCAAACCTTGTTTGGGAAGTCAATGGTTTTTACGTTTTGTCAATATCATGATGATAGTAATTCTATTGAAAAATACATCAAAATATGAGAGGTACCCTATCAAATTAGTTTCCATACTACTTAGTGAAAAATGTTATTTTAAGGTAAGATAAATAATTTCATTACATTTTTATCAAGTATTTAAACACAAGCGTATTTAGATAGATGAATACAAGAAACATGGACGTCTTTCTTCGTTTACCTTTGACTTGTTAACCCGTTTAAAAATTTCTTAATTGGTTCTTAATCAGTTCCCTTATGTTGTACTCACTATCGATTCGCAGTAAATGGAAATACGCATTGATAAATATAAGTAAAACATGTTCAAATAGTGACAGCTGATTTTATACAAATTCATAAGAATTATATAGCAGTTATCAACAACAATTAATTTGAATATACAAAATGAATCACCTAGATTTAGTGTGTATACTGCTATGATAAGCAGTCCTTAAACGAAGACGCGGCAGAATCCTCATGCACATCAGTTCTTGGAAAAGCAGCTTGCAGGCATACGGCATACGGACAGAAACAACTTGACGGCTACTTCGACAATACTGACACCAGTTAGGTGATGTAGCTAACAAACCACATTTTTCACATACACATGCATCATAGGCATCGCTGGAAAGCAAAAGACGTTCTAATAGTAATTGTGAAGTACCATAAGCAATAAAACAGTCTCGTTCCATTTCTCCAACTCGTAAACCTCCTTCTCTACTACGACCCTCCGTCGGCTGTCGAGTCAATGCTGTGACGGGCCCGCGTGAGCGAGCATGTACCTGAAAGTGATAGTGCAATAGTTTAAGAATAACAATACAATGTATCCAGTAAGAAAAAAGCAAATCAAGTCCATAGACACTGCGAAAATTGTACTAGGCAGATCGACAAAACACTACTCCCAAACTTTAATCTGTTCAAAGTAATGGGATAAAATATGTTTGGATATATGCAACTAAGTACTAGGTATGTATTCATTCAGAAAAAGTAAAATGTTTTATATTGAAGCAGAATTATATGGGATTCGACGGTTTGATAATAGTGATAATAATTCAATTTGCGTTTCTAAATGTCACCGTTATATTAACACCAACAGTAATAGCCAAGATCCTCAAACGAAGGGAACAGCAGTGACAATGCGAAAAGATACAACTATCTACATTTTTGTGATCAAGGTAAGGTGAGATAAAACTGTGGTGTATGCTATGTCTGTCAACATAAGTAGTATGTAACACCAATCAGAAGTGGAATAACTGACAGAAGAAAGGGTAAAGTCCTCAGATTCACTAAGCTTGAGAAATGTAGACATATTACTCGAAATATTTGGAAATATTTTGCAAATTTTGTCAAATAAAACATAGCTATAGGACGCTAATGGTTTAAAAGTTGATTTGCGTCTACTTTTATTCTGAAAAGAAGTTTTTTTAATGTTTCATTCTAGACTCATTCTCAACTAAAGACACCCTAAAAATGTTTTTCATATTTGACCAAAGCACTCTCTAATTTTTACATTAAAAACAGTAAGTTGGTTATCTGCACTAAGTCTTCGTTCACTAAATAACCACTTAGTATTTCGGTGGTTTTAATTTTATTAGGACTTTAACCTGTTTTCAAAAAATCTATATGACTACTCTAATTCCAAGTAGAGGAAAAATAAAGGCGAAAGGGAACTAATCACGCACCCAGCAACCTCAATCTCTATTAAATTCAAAATAAAAAATTCGACACTTACTTTGTCCATAACCATATGCTTAAGTCGCTGGTAATAAACAGGACCAAAGTAAATAAACGCTTCAAGCGGGGCTCCAGTAACTCCAGAATACAAAATCTCCTTGCCAAGATAATGATACCCATGATCAATGAGTACTTGTGAAAGGACTTCAGCAGGATCCCCAGAAAACGCTGAACCGTCTCGAATTTTTCCTTCGATGGCCCCGGCTTTGCTACCCAAGACTTCTAACAATTTACCCACCTTCAAAGTAAATACAGACATTAAATGTCATTGGTTGGTTGCTTCTTTTAATACGCTATTGTGTGACGTTGTACATATACGCTTGAGTTGTATGCTTGTTGTTGTTCATGATTCTGGCTGCTTATGGAACATACTTTCCTTCATCTGAACCTGGAATTCTCTCTCTTGTTAGCTGGACTGGGACAAATTAGAATAGTTCAGCTGTCTTGTCGTTGCATCGCTGATCCTGCGTCCCGTTCGTCGATTTTTAGGTGTTACATTCACAAGCACTACTTATGGACAGATTTATTTTGTCCAAGATTACATGGTTGATATAATTTTACAGCGGTAACTTTATTGGGAAATCTTCTTAAGCTCATTACCTCATCCTAAGCATTTATCTACATAGAAATGTGTTTGAAGTAATCTATTCCTAATAGCTCGACGAATTTGAAAATAAATTATTGATGTTTCATGACTATGCACGTTGGTTTTCTCCAAAGAGTCGATCTCAATCGCACACAAGTTTAAAAACGTTAAAGCAAGAAATTAGATCAAAACGTAGATGAAAACAAGATTAAGGATACTACTTCCATAATTATCAAAGGTGAACATTCACGATGCACGTTCCTTGTGTTTGTATGTTACACTGTGGAGTGATTAAATTTGTGCATGTATTTCGTAGCATAACAGGTGAAAAACAAATCATGCAATCTAGATGGATAGGAAGGTTCCTTTTATTGAAGTCTACAAACTTCCTGTAGAGTTTGTGTATTCTTGGACCAGTAGGTTTACTTTCTGATTTTGGATACGCAGGTAACAGTTTTGTCTGGATAAAATTCTGCCATGACACAAAACCTTTTGAACTTAATTATTTAAACACAAACATTGGTACAAGAAGGCACCAAATAGATATGCGCCACGTAAATCATTCGATTTGTGTGAGGGCGAACTTTCTGAACACCGTACCCAAGTATGATTGAATGTGTTTCTCTCGTTTCTTCTGATGAATCTCGAGCTTGGATATCATTTTGTAATTCATATTTCTCGGATTCATTCCTTATATTTGAAAAGTATTCTTTAATGCTTAATCATTTTAATCATTATTAATACTGTAGTTATTTCGACTTTGTTTATCTTGGTAATCTCATATTGTGGTGCTTATTTGGTATGGCAACTTGGGCTGACATACATTGGTGTCAAGCTCTGTTGATTATGACTGACTGAAATTCAGTTTTGTGTTGAGACGAAGTGAATTTTGCAATTTATTTGAGAGAAATTGCTAGGGTTGAAGTTATCACAAGTTCACTTAATCCCCAGCAGAAATCATTTTGGAATATGTTTAGTGATTTACAAAGGGTTCTAATCTAGTTCTGCTTTAGGGTTCGTTATAGATAAGACTATGCATTATCTTTACTGATAGCTTGAAAAATAATAGGAAATCACGATACAGTTAAGTTTATCAGGAGGAGTTGAAAACAATGGAGTGACCGAAATCTTTAAACCGTATATCCCTTGATAACAATGGTTCGAAGGAATTTTGTCAAAAGCATTTACTTACCGTCATCCTACTGGGAAATCCATGAGGATTCATTATGATGTCAGGAGTAAGGCCATTCGTTGAGAAAGGCAAATCTTCTTGACGAACAATAAGTCCAACGACTCCTTTTTGACCATGGCGACTGGAAAACTTATCGCCAACTTCGGGTCTTCTAGTTTGACGCAACAATATCTTTACTACTGCTTGGTTTCCTTCTGATGTGGAAAACATAACTTTTTCTACATAGGACGGTTCTATCCCTTTGTAGTCTACGGGACAACGCTTAAATTCCGTCTACCAGATGAAGAAAATGAGAAAGAATATGGTAGGATCAACGGGGAGAGATTTGGGTTCGATGTTGATTTTTTATTAGAAACAAATGAAATAGTAAATGCACCAACTTAAAATGAAGAAATAAACTAGAATAAATCATAAGATTTGTGTCTGAATTTAAATCTAAATACAAAAAATTAATTTCACTTAAAACCATAACCGATGGTGATTTACAATGTTCAAATTAAGTCTAGCGCAAATCAGTAATTAACATAATATCAACTTTGTCAATTCATGAACTAATTTTTGTGAGCTTTTCTCATTCTCCTTTTACAATGTAAAAAAAGATGAGTGTTAGAAATATTTAATCATCACAAAGAATGTTACACAAGAAAAGTGGTACATATTTTGTTAATAGCTTAGTACAAGTATTGAAATATGGATACTTTTATAGTTCAACAACACCAATAATTTATATATTGTTTTCAGTATCAAATGAGTTCTCTTGGATTGACACTATTCACTGATTTTCAGAGCATTAATATCAGATACTATCAATTGTGGATTGTTTGTATAAATATAAACAAAATCCCAATATTGCCAATCACTTTCTATTGCCGGTGGTGGGTAACTGTCTCGCACCTAATATGGTTGAACTTCACTGGTCACAACTTCTCATTAGGATTCTGAAAATTTACTTTCGAATTAATTCACTAGTGAGTACATGATAATTATCAATACAGGAGGGTTTATCGAGATTATTGAATGTTATTAAAATCACCAGTGCTTCCTGATCCTTGATTGTCATCTAACTTGGTTCTGTTTGTGATCTCAATCACACTTTGTTAATGAAACACAGAATATTCCCTGGAAAAAGCCCAAAGGGGCCCTGAAAACGCTGGGAAACATTTTATCCAATCTGCAATGAATAGAAATTCTTCACAAACATCTATAAAGTGAAGAGTCACGTATCACATTCCTGAATGAATGATTGACCCATCCTGCTACTATGTTTAGTAAGGTTCCAGAACCTTCTAGAAACCCAATGCCATCTGAAACGCTATAAATATCCTCGTTTTTTTGTACATAAACGAACCTAGGAGTAAAGCGTTCTTTCCATATTTCGCACCTTTTCTCTCGTGTCGTATAGTGTTAGCCTGGGTTATTAGAAGAGCTTATGAAATAAATTCCAGCGTTCATTCAGAAGATATGTCATATTTAACAACCATCAAGAACACCATATACTGATGATGTCTCAGCAGTTTACATATGAAATGTAAAAATACAATTATTGGACATAACCGTTCATATCGAATTTGCTCTGAATAGCGAAGCAAATATGTAATGATCATCATCTGGACACTTGGTCACAGAGTTTATTTATAAAACTAATAAGAATGAATGTATTTTGTACTGTATATTCCCTACTAAGATTTTCATAATTAGTTCAGTATTGAGAGAAAAAGCGCAAAATAAGTTACAAGACATAGAATTTACCGCGTTCTCAGGTGTATTCACATTTAAACTAAGCGATCCCGCATTATCCAATACAGCGCTTGAACTAACAACAGGCATTTCCTTATTGATAAGGATTTGACGGTCGTTAACACAAGCGCCAATGTACGCAACTCCATCCGCCTGAAGCACCTCATCTCCACGACGAAGAACGCCGGTCTCTAAGTAGAGCAAAATATAGAGAGATACAGAGTAAAGACTAGAAGGTGGATACAAAGTGTCGACAACAATGTTTTGTATCATGATCTAGATGAAATATTTACATTTCGTTGATTAAGACAAATAACTGAATGGAACTCTGACGCCTGCAAGAGAGGAAACACCTTGAAACACTAATGTAGAAAAAAGGATACAGCTAAATAATGCCTATTTCAATATGGAAATGCAGAAAATTATCTCACGTATATAGAAATGAATGCTTAAACTATCGTAATAAAGCTTCACCGTAAAGAGTCTTCCCAACTGTTGCTGCTACCTTGGCGTGGTGGTCGGGCTTGTCTATCGTGATGAACCAATCAGGCTATACTGGCTGATAACCACCATCATACTTCTAACATTACACAAGACCACTGATTTCATAATTAATTTCCTCTTATACTGACTATCAGATCTAAACTTACTCCTTCGACTTTCTCCTCAAATGTCATCATGGCCACCAACTCTGGTGCACAAATTACTGTCCCAGGTCTACCGAAACCTCGCTCCAAACTACACATTGGAGCCATCAAAATACGCATCCTATGTCGAGTCGGCCAGCAAGCCTCCTTGGCTAGAACCATAGAATGTCGTGCTATTCATGTGTTCTGTGTCGTCGAAACACGAATACAGGATCCTAGTGTGGTCATCCACTTGACCTCATCTCGCCAAAACGTAGGGCCGAGGAGATACACCCTCTCGTGAACGGACAGGTGTAGGTACAGCACTTAGTACGAGGCCAGAACAAGCACTATTAGGATGGATCCTCGTTAACAGTCACCTATGTGATGTTCGACTAAACGGCTCCGTAAGAACTCGAAACGATAGGGACAAACGTTGTTGCCTTTTCGTTGTTTCTGCCTACGCTCCCATTGACTGCACACCGGATGAAGTGAAAGATGACTTTTACGGAAAACTTTCTGAACTTCTACATAAAGCTAAACACTCCAGCATAGTACTCATAGCAGGTGACTTTAATGCTCATGTAGGTAGCTCAAACCAAATAGAAAGACATTAAGGTGGGCATTTTAGAATTCCAGCTCAGTGAACAGATAATAGTTATCATCTGCTGCGACTGTGCTCAGACGATCGTTTATTTTTAGCAGGCACAAATGTAAGCATAAGGAGAGACATCATCTAACATGGCCCCCTAATGCCCTGATACGGCCGAGAGTGGGGATAGTCCGCTCTCCCTCTCGAAATACTCTCACACGGCCGCGCGTATACAGCATCTGCCAGGGAAGTCCTACTCATTGCCCTCTCGTGGCGGGGGTGTTGTTTACGAAAATGAGAGGACGAAAAGCGAATGTCCGGCGCTTTAACCGGATCACAAACCAATGGTGCACATGGGCTCCAGTATCCTGCGGGAACAAATGGCGTATGAACCAATCGTTGGTCACCGGCTACAATGGGACTGCATCTCCTTACGATGCTCCACTGCCTTGTGGGTTAGACCTTTAGGTCAAAGGCTCGGGGAGTGGCCCTGAAGCAGTTTATCTGAAACCACGTGCACCATTCAAACTGGCTGCCTTCAACGTTCGCACACTTATGCAGGTCGGACAACAGATAGGGCTAGCTATGTCTTTGGAAAGTCTTAATATCGACGTCTGTTGTCTATCCGAGACCCCTACTCAAGACTCTGGTGAAGTACTACAAATTCGCTCTCCATCTGTCACTTCAAAAAGCTACTTTTACGTGCGTCTATCCGTGGACCCTGTGGCATCTTCGTCCAGTTTTGCTGGCGTTGGTGTCGCACTAAGCGCTAGAGCTGAGGCAGCACTAATCGATTGGATCCCCATTAACAGTCGGTTGTGTGCTGTTAGATTAGAGAGTTCCATCAAAATGAGAAGGAATCGGCGTAAGAAACGATGTCTTTTCGTCATCTCCGCCTATGCCCCGACAGATTGCAGCCCGGATGCAATCAAGGATGAGTTTTACCACCAGTTGTCTGTTCTTCTCCAGAAAGTGCATTCGACAGATATTGTAGTACTAGCTGTGGACTTGAATGCTCAGGTCGGGCGTCTAGGCACAGGAGAGAGTCGTTTAGGTGGCCGATGGGGACTCGTTGGTCGCAGGTCAGATAACGGGGACCGTCTACTGCAACTTTGCACAGACAACAACCTGTTTCTGGCTAGCACTAACTTTCGGCACAGTCATCGCCGATGTGCTACCTGGCGTTCTCCTCTGCATCTCAAGCATGGACTCAGATTGATCACATCGCGATCAGCTACCGCTGGCGTGGTTGTGTACAAGACTGCCGCTCTTTTTGGAGTACCTATCTGGTCTCTGACCATGCCTTGGTCTGCGCCAATCTTGCCTTACTTTTCAGTGGACAACGAAGTGACCGCCACCAACGGATTGATATTATCAAGCTGGTTGCAACTTCTGTTGCAAGTAAGTATCGAACCAAGGTAGCCTCTAGGCTAGCTACCACTCCACCGAAAAGTATAGATGAGCATTGGTTGCAATTGCACGACGCTATGAAAATTGCGGGTACAGTCAGTTGTGGGTTCGCGAAACGTCCGGCTTATAAGCACTGTGTTTCTTCAGGCTCCTTACAACTCATTGAAGCCCGTCGGTCTACTCCAGGTGACCGTGAGTTTGACCATAAACGAAGGATGTTACGTAAGGAAATTAGGCAAAGCTTGCGTAAAGACCGAGAAGCCTCGTGGTCGAAGCGTGCTAATGAGCTGAAAGCAGCAGCTGCATCTGGTAACTACCGGAAGCTCTTCCAACTCATTCAAGCCACTGGCAGCAAGAAGTCTGGTGTGAGTGAAACAATCTGCGAGGATGATGGGATGCCAATCAGAACTCTAAGCTGCTCATACGGGTTTACTCGTCATTGATCCGATCGATAAGTCACTAATCGGCGGTCACAAGTTATAACAATTGGAGACGGGGATGGGATTCGAACCCACGCGGGGAAACCCCAAGTTATAACACCTGTGAAGACTGTTCAACCAAATGAGGCGGAAGTCCGCAACGAACTCCAACTCTTGAAGCACTACAAATCACCGGGTCCAGATGACTTACCTCCAGCCCTTTTTAAAGATGGTGGTGGCTTTCTGGCTAACGAACGGACGACGTTGTTTACAAAGGTCTGGGAACTAGAGAGTATTCCAACGTCAAGGGATGAGTCGATAGTTGTCCCTATCTTTAAAAAGGGTTCACGTCGTTCCTGTAACAACTATCGAGGTATAAGTCTACTTCCGATTGCGTCCAAACTATTAGCTTCTGTCATACTTCGCAGGTTGTTCAAAACCCGAGAATGATTGATCACACCTTCACCCTCCAACAAATGTTAGAACACCGCCATACTTATCAAAGGCCAACAATCGTAGTGTTTCTTGACATCAGGGCTGCCTTCGATTCGTTGGACAGGACTGTTCTCTGGGATTGTCTAGTGAAGAAGGGTGTGCCTGAGAAGTTTGTTAACATCCTAAAGGCCCCATATACAAACACCCCAGGCAGACTGAGGGCATACAACCACCTCTCTCCATTGTCCCATTCAAGCAGTGGGGTTAGGCAGGGTTGCCCAATCTCACCATTCCTCATCAACTTTGCCATCGACGACATTCTGAAAACAGCTCTGATGGATGTAAGTAATGGTGGTGTGGATCTGTTGCCTGGAGAAATACTTCTCGACCTTGAGTATGCAGATGATATTGTCTTACTGTGCGATAATGCCCAAGTCATGCAATCCGCAATTAATCAGTTGGCAATCAGTGTCCGTAGGTATGGTATGTGCTTTGCACCTTCGAACTGCAAAGTACTTCTACAAGACTGGCAGGATTCCAATCCTGTACTCACCCTGGATGGTGAGCAGATAGAAGCAGTTGAGGAGTTCGTGTATCTAGGCAGTTGCATAAGTTCTGGTAGTGGCGTGGGTGATGAGATCAGTGGCAATCTGGGCCATCTTTGTCGCCTTCGTGTTGTCAGTCTAGCTGTAAATGGTCGGATCTACAACGCGTCGGTGAGAGCAGTTTTGCTCTATGCTTGTGAAACCTGGCCTCTCCGATTTGGGGATGTTAGACGACTCTCTGTGTTTGATCATCGCTGTCTCCGAAGGATTGCTGACATCCAGTGTCAACACCATGTCAGTAATGCAGAGCTTCGGCATCGTGTGTTCGGGTGCAGAGACGATAATTCAATTGGTGTCACCATCTTGAAACACCGACTTTGGTGGCTTGGACATGTTCTACGAATGTCGTCCCAGAGAATTCCACGTCGTGCATTATTTACCGACTCTCGGACTGGTTGGAAAAAGCAGAGAGGTGGTCAGTGTATGACATGGTGTTGTGGTATGAAAGAAAGCTGCAAAGGGCTGGCTCCTGTTAGTCCTTCATGACTCCCTGACTGGGGTCCTAGAGATGGTGCTACACAGTGGCTAGAGACGTTATCAGATATGGCTCAGAATAGAAGCCAGTGGCGATCCTGCTGTAACCTTCTTTTACTTTCTTCATAAAAAGTGGTTGTCTCCCTTACCTGAAAGATTCCTTCTGATTGTACCTTTTCGTTCCCTCATTTCTACCATACTACCTTACACCAATCTCCTCGTTATTGTTCTCTTTTTTTTGCGCCCCTTGGCTTTTTTTTCTATTTCTATTCGAATTCTCATTGTTTTGTGTGGCGCATATATATTGGCGCTGTCTCGTACCAATATTCATGTGTTCGAATAAATAATAAATAAATATCGCCAACAGTCATCGTTGGAGAGGCTTCATAAAAGACTGTCGCTCGTTCTGGAATACATGTTTGGACTCCGATTATGCTCTAATAGTAGTCGAACACGTCGGCAACTTCACTCATGCTGGAAGTCTGATCAGCCCTAATGGTTTGGTGTCTGATGAAATCTCTGCACAGATTCAAAATGCTTGTTTGGCTTTTGACAACATACGTCATCTATGGCGAGGGCGAGATATCTGTCTATCAATTAAAGGACGAGTATACTGCGTAGCAGTTCGTTTTGTCCTACTTTACGGTTACGAAGCGTGGCCATTAAGAGTAGAAGATACATGTAAGTTACTAGTATTTGATCACAGATGTTTTAGAAATATTGCCAGCATCTGCTGGGATCACCAGGTAAGTAATAGTGAGGTTAGACGCATGGTATTAGGGAATGATGGTAATCCAGTTTATGAGGCTATGAATCTTCATTGACTGAGATGGTTAGAAGAAAATTAAGGGCGGCCAAACCAAAACGTGGCATCAGTACTTTAAGTTACTAGCTTCTAGTCTGAGCCATACTGGTAGATGCAAACCACTTGGTTGAAGTTCGTGTGACTATCGTAACGAATGATTGGAGACTCTGGGTGACATGACTCAAAATCGATCACAATGACGTAGATGTATACACTCTCTGTCTTCCCTTAAACTATGAGATTAAAATTGCTTTATACTTTTCTTTCTACAAACTAATTCTTTCTTCATGTATTATATCCTTATATGCATTCTTTCTCTTTATATATTACCACCATTGAATTAACTACTTCTATCAACTCGGTGTTCATCTCGTTGTGCTAATGAGGTGTGGCAACTTCGACCGATGCATATATGTGTCTGGTTCTACGTTATAGCTGACTGACTGACAAATATGTAAGAATAATAAATCATGTATAGAATATAAACCACTCAGTTATTTCAGGACATTGCTTTAAAGATGACATGAGGTAGAAAGTTAAAGAGAGAACAATGTCACAAACAGACTGTCTTCAAACCAGGTAAAGCACTTTAAAACAATGAAAATAAGGTGATTGTTGTTTCAATTACAATACGCTAAGTTCGTCAAACTAGTACAATTGAAAATTCGTTTTTACTAAATGAATGTACCAAACTTGTAATATGTCAGCACTATATGGTAACATTTTAAAAGGCAAAATACATTCATTAAAACAGGATGCATGAAGAAAAATAATAAGTGCACCACTCTCTAAAGTAGTGAACTGTATATATATTTTTGTAAATAGGAAGGCCTAGTAGAGCGATAATTAGAAGTGGTAAGATTGACTGCTGGATTATTTCGACACATACTTTGTATGGTAAAAAGCAGTAGTAACTGAAGTGTAAATGAAGGAACATAAGAAAATAATGATACACAACGAATATAACGCATCAGGCAACATTTAAGAAAGTTACTGTTCACCTACCTCGCTCTATGCTAGGGCCCATTAAGCGATCGTAAACTGCATTTTCATGCATTTTGAGATGAACACCCGACCGACGATAAACACAAGCACGAGCAAAACCTCGATCAATTGAAGCCTGGTTAATAACCAATGCATCCTCAACGTCATACCCAGAATAAGACATTATTGCTACAACTGCATTTTGACCGGCAGGGAGCTTATGTGAATAAAGTACAAAATACGAGACGGTGTAGACGTGAGAACATTAAATCATATTCACTATTTAGACAAACGACCATTAAAATTAACATGATTCATAACAAGCTATATAATTTCTAAACTGTAAAATAAAAAGGAAACAAATGCAAATCACACCCTTATCGTCAATCATGAATAATAAATCATCTTAAGATCTTTAGGGTTATAAGTGACGAATATATATATATATATATATATATATATATATATATTCGCTATAATGTGATCAAATCATATTAATCACTACGAAATAAAATGGATTAACTACTCATAAAAGGCATAAACTGATACTGTTTACCTGCTCTCTTAGTAGTGCTCAGTGGTAAAAGTTGGTTTAGTATCATATGGAAAAAAAAATTGGTTTGAATAAGATTATACACAGAGAGCATATTTTAACGTTAGGTAAAAACAAAACTGCTAATTATATGACAAAAGCTTACCTCATCAAAATGCATCATTTGAATAGTTTTCGACTGAACAAGGGGTTTTTGAGGGTAGACCATTTGACATTGAAGCGTATCAAAACGGATTTGCTGATTAAGTGCAACAGTGCCGATAGCTTGCTTACCCATAGCACATTGATAAGTATTTCGGGGAGACTATAATATTTGAAATGGAAATAATGAGAATATTTTATCAAATATACACCATAAAAAAGAAAAGAACACTCACTCAAGCATTCATTAAATGATGAAATTGTAAACATAAATTACTAATTTTATATCTCTTAGAAGATTCTTTGCAATAAAACCAGTAAGAAGAGTAAACGAAAAGCTCTTTTAAGTAAAAAGTATATATATATATATATATATATATATATATATATATATATATATATGGAATAAAAGTTAAAGAAACAGTTATGTTCAATCAAGTGTATGTAAACGGAACTATCAAGGATAGTTACACCGAGAGTAACATGTTTTGTGGTATATTAGCAGAAAAAGCTATTTGCGCTGGACATGATATTATTATTATTATTATTATTAATGGCTTTATTCAATATTATCTTTTTGGTACAATATAGAATTCTCAGCACAGGGTATTTCAACAAGTTACTTACTGAACAACGAACAAAAAGGCAGTAGCAAGCACAAAAAGAAATAAAAAAAAGGTTTTTAAAAAAAATGAAATAAAATAAACCAAAAAAACTGTACAAACTTTTTAAAATTAAAGACATGTTAAGAATGTAAGTTATTGAGTAGGTTAATTCTAACAACCTGTTCGTCACAGAGTATATTTGCTAGGTAAGGTATTATAGAACTTTTATACTTTTCCTTGCGTGCATGGATTTTAATGTAATTACGTCTCGTTCTACCAGAAGATATACAAGGAGAAAGATAAGAGTGAAGGGGATGGCTAGTATCTGATAAAATGACACCTGCCAGGAGTTTGCATGATTTTAAATGTCTATCCACAACCATATTAATTATGACCTCGAAAGATTCACCACACACCTTGCTAACTGCCTTCAGCACTCTCCGCAATACAGCAAAAGCTTTTTCTCAAAAGCCCGGGGAAGAATAATGGAGAACAGTAAAGAATAATACGCAATATGCAGTTGACAAATTGTAAGAGTAAATGACGAGTAATCCCAAAAGCATGTAGTCTCTTTATGTAGTAGGTCAGATGGAAAACTTTCTTCGATAACAGTAAAACATAAGACCGAGGGAGATCAAAGGAAAACGTAACACCAAGATAATTGACCTTCGACACTGTGTTTATCAAAGAGTCTCCAATGGCACGAGCATTATAGGATCCCAAAGGGTTGTTTAGATGCCGTTCACGTCTTATGCTAAAGTTAACAGCTTGACATTTAGACAGATTAAGTTTGAGACCATTAACAACAGACCAACAATCAATACGAGACAAAAACTCATTCAATTCAATGGGATGTAAAGAGGTAGAAATCGGCATACATACAGTGAGATCATCCTCATATTCCGCAGAAGTGTTCTCTGTAGAAGATGGCAGATCATGCAGAAAAATAGAGAAAAGAAGAGGTGAAAGAACAGCTCCTTGTGGTACACCATGAGACAGTAGAGACTCTGAACATTTTCCTCCACATACAGTGTACTGTTCCCTTCCAGAGAGATAGGACCATAGCCAGTTGGTTACCCAGCTGTCAGTGTTGACGCTGATTAACTTGTAAAGTGAGCGTTGTCTTGGTATAGAATCAAAAGTTGAAGTATAGTCCAGAAAAGCGCATCGAACATAATTCTTACCCTTTTTTAAGTTGAACACTATGTTGTGATGCAGAACAGCAACAGCATCTAAGGTGCTTCTTTTGCATCTGTAAGCAAACTGATACGAATCAATATGCTCTTTTATCGCAGGCTCAAGTGGAAGTACTAATAATTTTTCCATGGTTTTGAGGAAGGATGAAGTTATTGCAATAGGTCTAAATTTCACATTCTTATCACCAGATACTTTCTTTGGTACAGGGATTATCTTCATCTTTCTCCACATTTTCGGTATGAGATTAGATGAGAAGGGTCTGTTAAAGATAGTCGTGAATGGATAACATAGGACCTCAGCACATTTTTCAAAAAGAAGGTTCGGGATACCATCAGATCCTAAACATCAGGATGAATTAAGTGACTGGAGACATCTTCGGGTATCAATTTCAGTGAAACTAGTAATACAGCTATTCTTTAAACCTGTGGATGAAGGAAGCATTACATCAGATGACTGACGTACAAAAGACTTATTTAAGTCACAAACATTCAGCTGGTTATCACTCCTAAGTCGATCAAAACTTACAAAAATGGTTTCAATGGGACAACAAATATCAAAACAGAATTTAAGGTAACAAGTGATAACATCAGTAGTGTTTTCGAGTGAGTCATCTGTAAATAATTCCCAGTTAGTCGTATGAAACATGTTTTTCAGATTTCGGATATTTTCTTCTGAGTAATTCCTATATTTGACTTTCCTGGTTTGACGTAAGAGTGTACTCTTCCCATGCTTTCCATATACTTTAGGTAGAACACGAATTATACAGTGATCTGAGCTAGACAATGGAGCACGTTTACGAGTCGCATATATACCCACATCATTAATGAAGACGCAGTCTAGATGAGCATCCAAACGGGTAGGAAAATCCACTACATTTTGGTGACCTAGTGACGTAAGGAAGCTACAGTCACACGAATTGAAATCACCACATACAACTGAAAGTGAATCACTGAAGGCAGTAACAGCGAACTCAGTGAATTCATCAGCAAAAACAGATAGTGCAGATGATGTGCAATCTGGAGTCACGTAGATATTGGTAACATAAACATATTTGTATTTATTCAGATGTTTTGGACGACACCTTAAAGTTAGACAGTCGATAAAGTCATTTGAAAACTTAAAACACACAAACGACGATCGACACCAGTTTATGTTTACAAACGTAGCTACACCGCCACCACACCTCTTTTTATTGTTCGATCGATCCTGACGATAAATTTTAAAATCACGTAGTGATACAAGGCAGTCATCCTGTAAATCATTCAACCAAGATTCTTGAATTGTGATGACACCACAATTACGATACGTATTTTGACTAAGTAGGAATTGCAGATAGTCCACTTTGTTGATTAGTGATCGGCAGTTAGAATTTAGTAGCTCGGGAATTGACATACGATTAATGTTCATTCTCTTTAACGCATATTGCCAACCACCACGATGCCTTTTATAGTACTTTTTCGTAACTTGTGCAGCGAAAGGTCGTAGGCTTTTCATAAAAGCGCCTGAATAGGTTATGCGATTAATGGACATAGTTATAAATTAAAACAAATGAAAACAGATAACTTGTTGAAATAATCAGATGGCAGAAACAGGTAGCCCAGATATTCAAGCAGGCCGCCTGTAGTAATAACAGTAATAATAATACTAATAGTAGTAATGGTAATAAGAATAATAATACTGTAATGTACCTGTGCTCGTGATTGTCTACCACGAGACTAGATACCCGATCGATAAGCTATACACAGACTGGAATCACGTTATACCGGATAAAGGATTCACGATCAAATAAAGAGAACCAGAATATAGGCTAAACAATATTTTATTTAACACAATTACAAGTAGTCTATACTCAATGAGTTCAGAATCGACATCAATAATCAAGAGTTCACACTAAACAGTAAGTAACCTGGGTGTCTGTCTGTATTCTCTCAGTGGTCAATCATAGCTTACTCTCACTGACCACACATCAATTAGTCATGTGCTTTTTAATTAGGACGCCGTGAAAACAATAAACACGTCAGGTTTTTAATGACTTTTATATAATTATTTCAACACAAATCATGTTTTACGGTTTGGTAAAGAGATAACAGCTATCACCGTACCTATAAGATCTAGGGTACCTTAAATAAAGCCTATATTAAATAATTCAAGAGATTATTTATTTAATAAAGTAAAGAACAAAGTTTACTTGATTATGATCCGGATAAGGAATTAAACCAGCAACGACACCTAAAATTGTGGCGGGGTCGATTTCCATATGAGTATAGTGATTACCGTCGGTTAAACAGGACTCGTCCATTGCAACCAGACAATCGTTGAGTTCATTAACATCCAAATATTCAACTAACCCTTTTTTCAATAGATCATCCCAATTTAGAACATTGTGGCGTAAATCCTACAAGTAGTAGTTAGTCATGTCAAAACACAATTTAAAAATACATCAAATGAATCAAGGTACCAATTTATTGGATCACCGGAGAAATTATGACCCAAATTAATCAAAGTAATAACATATTTTATTAATGCAGAGCAAGACACATTAACAGAACCAGGATGATCAAATGTTTGGGACAATGAATGCAACTAAAGTTATGGGATTCACGTCATCAGATAATATTTAATTACCCTGTGAATAAAACAACCGAAAAATCCTTCACTACTACATATACATAATTTAGAGGAAATCATTATTATCAATAAATACATAACGTTTGTTGGTACTCAAAGTTTCAAACTGGTCTGAGTAGTACATCACCAACCTCAAAGCGTTGCCGTTGTACTCGATTTCACTTACTTTGATTCAGATAACCAGATACTACCACTTGTTTTCACAATCGTAAAAACCTAATCAATAACAGACAATATATATTGGTAGAATTCGCTAGCATTAACAAAATGTAATTGTCATAACTCCTCTTTACTAGCAATTTTACGACTACATTTGGTAATTCCTGAAAAGTAGGTCATAACCTGACAGCATACTTACTTAGTAATCTCTATATCGACTGAATTATGTGAAGCACACTTGGCACTCTAGTTAGAAAAAAATGTCGCCATAACAACTCACCTGAAGAACAGATTCCGTTACGAGTGGTCTTCCATTGCACAGAATAATATAAGGCCTGCAGAATCTGCCACCATCACTAACGACATGAACGCACTGATAAGCTTGCTTGATATAAACAGAAACAAAGCCGTGAATTCTACCCGAACGCCGAAGACCTCTAATCAAAACACATAGTTTCCCAGGGTGTTGAGTGAATCCAATCGGTTTTCCATTTACATATATTACGTACCTGAAATTTATTAGATATTAAGGAATGTATCCGCGACTAACATAGTAAATATTTTTATGTAAAACTGTTGAAATAATGACAGTAAGAAAGAAACAATGTGGAACCTAGCTGATAAAACGACCAAGAAGTAGGTCTAACATTTAGGTCCTATGTACTGGGAAGTGTTTTGAAGTACAAAACTGATTTCCTCTAATTACTTATCCCATCTAACCATGTTTACTTGCCTGTTAATTATTTGTACGTAAGCATACTAGCAGTCAACACATTTGTGGACTTATCCTGTCTATTTTTCCGTACATCATCAGTATTTTTCCAAATTTGTTTTTTTGACAGGAAAATCGCAACTATACAAATGTAATATATCCACTAGGGAACACATCTAATCACTATAGATCAGCGGGGTTAGTAACCTAACCAATCGATTTAGAAAGCTTATCAAGAAATCTATATCTAACATGTACACTTCAAAGAGTGAATCTCTTATGCACAATCAGTGATTTCAAGTCATCTATACTCAACTGGTGGTAATCTGTACATATCGTCTGCTTTCGTAGACCACTTGTCGAGATGTCGCTCGTCACCAACCCACCGGAAGTAGTGAAGCTTCTGAAGTACATGAAGTAATCAGTAAACTCAACTACCTTAATCTCTTTATTTAGGATAGGCATTTACGGATACAACCTTACGAATACAGCCTTTACAGGACAGGAAACGGAGACAAAACATTCCTGGACTTTGAGATGGTGGAGAAGATTCGTAGCTCAGGTGGATGATTTTGATGGAGTTTTGTTCTCTGAGCTGGATGGCTTGATCGTGAAGCTTTCAGAAGATTATTTCTTCAGAGTACACATCACATAGAACCTTATCATCTCTGCGTTATAAGTTCATGAGAGGGATTTCAGATAGATTTATCTGCTAAAAGTTGAAAGGACGCTTCACTACCTTTATTAGTATCTATATGACAAAATTAAATAAAAGTGTAGCGCGAGAGCGAGCCTCAAGTATAATAATTTAGGTGACCCATTCGAGCGACAATTTACCCAATTCTGATAATTGATTAGTTCACAGTAATCGTAAAATTCAACTATGCTGTTGCAAAACAGCTATAAACAGCAATACAAATTGAAGGTATGAATGAGATGGCAGGCCTGAAAAATCCACTTTGATTAGATAATTGGTTCAATAAATTTATTAGTCAGAGGAAAATGTAAATTAAAGTAATATTATTAAAAGGCGAACATCAACATACTCATTTTTAGCATATCTCATCTGGTAGAGTGGAAATGTATAATAGTTGCTAATTAGCTCAATCAAATGTGCATCGTCTACTTCGACCGTAACATGACACATGAGAGCAACATTTTTAACAAGTCCACAAGCTTCCCCTTCAGGTGTGTCAGATGGGCAGATAAGACCCCATTGGCTTGCATGAATAGAACGTGGACCAGAGACCTATAGTAAGAAAAACGATACTCTGTATAGCAATGTAAACAATCCATTATTACGAAGAAATGGAAAACATTTATCCGTTGCACCTAGTAAAACAACACTTGAGGAGCGCATAAACTATGATACTATATGACGCGAATAGGGAGTAGAACGTATTACAATGATTCATCTTACTTTGTCTTAGTGATTTCAGAAAACATTTTTGCGTGTTTACATTATCTCTATTTAACTTAGCTAGAGACTACGAATATATTTTCTTTGGAAAAAAATACTGCATACAGAAAAATTCAAGGGTTATGTTTTTTACACAAGTGAATAATGGTGTTCGTAGTCTTTTTTTACAGAAAATTGACGAATAGCAGTAGAGACGAGTCGTGAAGCATGCATTTTTGTAATGCTTTTCGATAGTGACTATAGTTAAAGTGTAAAACGCACATTTCACCCTACACAGGACTTGTCAGCTCGATGTAACTGAATCCAACAGCATTCGTCGATCTGTCTACCGATTATGGTACTTACTTCTGTTTGAGACTGATCGAATTCGTTGTTAAATATGGACAACAGTAAAATACAAACCCTTACAATTAGCAGTAATAATTTTATTCCTCATCAATCACACTTTCCAAAGACTAACCTTACGAGTTTTTTCAAATTGGCTCGTCATTCGAGTCATATGTCCTAAGGCAGCAACGTAAGATAAACGGCTAACAACTTGTGTAACACCATGTCGCATCATACGGAATCGTTTTATGATCCAATTTCCAGAAGAAATTGCTCTATTTAACTGTTCCGTTATCATCCACGTCTTGATATGTCGAGATATATCAAAAGGTGTACATCGGCGTTTTGTATCAATCTTGGACACTGTTAACCAGAGATCTTCGTTAAATGTCTTGAAGACGTCTTCGAATAAAAGGGCCAGCAAGCTACCAGCCAATTCGATACGTTTGTTCCCATAAAAATCCCGATCATCTGGCTAACAATCATAAAATTGATTTATTTTGAAAATTGATATACATATTTAAAAATATGCATGGAAAAACTTAATTAGAAGATATTATAGAAGATTGAAACAGAAACGTACAGAGTACGAGGGGATAGTTGTGTAAGTCCCAAGTAACTTGGAAGAAATTTATGTTAGGTCCCTTTTAAAACGTATACGTAAAACTTGTGGAAATGTTTACATCGGAGCCTTTAAACGTTACTACTGAATAATAGGTCGTTTAAGATAGGATATTAGTATGCTTCATTTGTTAGGAAAATAAAAAACAATTCTACCTGGGATGATATCCAACGATGGACCTTTAAGAGGTTAGAATCTTCGTCCTCACAAATCAAGAAGATTGAGGCCAGTAAAACAATACATAATACACGATATTGGTAGAAATAATCTGTTTTAATTACGTTTTATTAAGTGACCAGCTGAAAAAAAATGAGGATGAGAATAGAAAATACTAAAAAAGGGTTGTGCAAGGTAGGACTTTCCCAATAATTTCTCAACAAATTATTTTGTTGAAAGTCCCAGTTACTCAAGCCAAACCCTTAAATCTAACAATTAATGATAATTGTAATAGCAACACTAGCGAGCCTGAGTTTTAGTGAGCAAACAATTTTCTTTAAAGGCATTGATAAATTAGGAATTGATAGGGCTAAAGTTTTGCCACCACAAATGTTCAGATAAATTTGTTGGTCAAATTCAGTCCTGGATGTCAACCTTAATAAATAATAAATATTGGAACCATTGGATGACGTGTGTGGCTATCATAACATATTAGCTTAATGAGTGACTCGTCGGTGCTTGAGGCTGTTATGTCTCAAAGTGACAGCCGATTATATGACAGTGACTTATCGATCGGATCAAGGATTCAGAATCTCGATAGCCTATTCTGGTCCGTTGTCCCCAACTCTGCTAACTCGATCAAGAAGTCTGGGTAAGGTGTAGAAAGTGTATTCTACAGACAAACAGCAGATAACAAGTCAGGCAGGCAGATCCGATCAAGCATACAAGTCAAGCGTATTTATACAATTATTTACAATCGATAGTCATAGATTTTTGAACATTAATCAACAATTGACTGCTATTTGAACATTTAATCGATAGTTCATCAATTGACCTATCTGCACATTTAATCGATAAGTAAATTACAAAATTTGAGTTTTGGGGATCTATCGTCCCCAACAGAGGCGATAGATTTTCAGATTAAATCTTAGTGTGAACATTAACACTAGGATGAATTTACATCAACCCGGTGAGTTTCAAATAGAACTAAATGAGTCTTGGATTTCATTGTTGATCATTATCTAAAACAATCGAATTTCATATGTTACGTATAAGACAATTTCGGTATTTCATGACATTCATTTTTAAAAATACTCTATTGCTACATATCCCAGGAAAGTTGGCGATACATTAACCCTAACCTTGAATGTCAGTTTTAGCGATGAGCGAAAATTTCTCAGTGATACCATAAAGTGTGAAAATAATTCAATCTTAATTGGTTAAATTATGGAACGTAATCAAAAGTTTTTGGTCTGGAAGAGGTACATTGAACACTGATCCCCAAAATGTCGAATTTCTCCTCAAACAATTACTTCAATGGAAGCTATTAAGAAGGTTTCAACTACTTCCAGGACATGGAGTTACTGCTGGAATTTCTAGTATCAGCTATTCAGATTCCAAAGAGAACGCCGTAAGTACACAAATGTACGACGACATTAAAAAACATTATAGATTCCGGTTTTATCCTCTGAAAAAAGTTACAATAAATGAGAAAATAAGTATGCGAATAATAAGCATTGATACAAAATACTGACTTCAAAGATTGGCTCATGATAATCACATCAGTCAGTAGGACAATGACTTGAAATACACTTACACCGATTAAAAACAGGATGGTTTTTAGTTTAGTTTTCATATGTCATTAAATGAGCAAAGAAACGTTTATCCTTCTATCACTTAACTAAGTATTTGTAAAAACCTTTTGTCGCGATCATCATTAGTCGAACCATTTATCCCATGAAATAAACTTATTTACGTTTACTATTCATTCTGGTTTGGTTTTATAAAATTAATTTACCTACTGCAAATAATCAAACGTTTACATTTTTTCTGAATAAATTTGAATTCTTTATCCTGGTTTGCTTTGTTTTCAAACAGGTATATATATAAATGTTAAAAACTTGACTCCTATGAGAAAATGTAATCCCATATGTAGGCTTGTATGCCAAACCGAATAACAGTTATTGTGCTGAGGAGAGAGATAACCTTCGACGAACTATATCTTTGTGCGTTGGATTACATTTTCACAAACGACTCAATGATTGAAAGTTGACCTCACGTTACTAAGATACTAAATTAGTAGCATTAAACTCCACTGAATAAGAACTTTAGACAGTCAGTGAGGAACTTTACGATTTCATTATAAACAGGGCTGTGCATAAGCATTTAGAACCTTGCACAACTAGTAAGAGTTATCAAATCTAAACTATCCACTTAACACATAAGACATTCGTAAATAAAAAATAACCGGAAACATATGAGGTTAAAAATACACAAATACGAATCACTGTTGTAAAACTTACTAAACAACTTGGATTTATATGTACACACATCAATTTTAACGTAAAAAAGGATAGGAACGCCCTGTTGAGATATTTTATGTTGAGAGTTCCACCTCTGTATTAAACATATGATATTGAATAAAGAGATTATTGCTATTATAGATGACTGTATTCTTTAAAAAAAGCCCTTCATCTATGCAAATTTATTAGTAGGGACAAACTAGAGCTTTTAATCCTTAATTTTAGATATGAAATCCATACTTGCAACTAAGTGTACCTGAGACAAATCAGTCCTAAACGCAGCCAAATAGATTGAAATACTAGTTTAGGGAAAAACACCTCATGGTCAACACTTGGTAAACCCACAATTAACTTCAATTATTCCAAGCCCCGAATGCACTGGGATGGCTCAGAGTGGGGTGGGCCCGCCCTCCAACTCGAAATGCTCTCACGCGGCCACGCGTAACAAGCCTTTGCCAGGGAAGTCCTACTCACTGCCTTCTCGAGGCGGGAGTGTTGTTTATAAAAATGAGAGGACCAAAAGCGAACGTCCGGCGCTTTAACCGGATTCAAAACCAATGGTGCACATAGGCTCCAGTATCCATGAGGGAACAAATGGCGTATAAACCAGTTGTTGGTCACCGGCTACAATGGGACTGCATCTCCTCACCATGCTCCACTGCATTGTGGATTAGACCTTTAGGTCAAAGGCACGGAGTGTGACCTCCTAGGAAGACCACCTGCTTTGTTCTGGGAACCCGGGCAGTGTCACAGACCACACACAAATCAAATAAAAGGACTATATTTACTGAAAATACTATTCACGTTTCGATTAAAAGTCAAACAATTCAAATCATTATTATTTTTACGTCACTTATTCACTCTCTTTTATTCCCGCTCTATGTATCCTTATTTTTCGACTTATACAGCAGCTCGCTTATGGTGGAAACTCGGTTCTATCTAAACGCTCTCGAGCCACTGCCTGATTGAAAATTGTATGCTACCACTAAATACGAATACTGAAGCAGTTTTTATGAAACCACGTGCACCATTCAAACTGGCTGCCTTCAACGTTCGCACACTTATGCAGGTCGGACAACAGATAGGGCTAGCTATGTCTTTGGAAAGTCTTAATATCGACGTCTGTTGTCTATCCGAGACCCCTACTCAAGACTCTGGTGAAGTACTACAAATTCGCTCTCCATCTGTCGCTTCAAAAAGCTTCTTTTACGTGCGTTTATCCGGGGACCCTGTAGCATCTTGGTCTAGTTTTTCTGGCGTTGGTGTCGCACTAAGCGCTAGAGCTGGGGCAGCACTAATCGATTGGATCCTCGTTAACAGTCGGTTATGTGCTGTTAGATTAGAAAGTTCCATTAGTCACTGCTTCCCACATTCACAGCCACATTTGGCCAAATTTTGTACAAATGTTATTTTCTACTTTATGCTACGTTGTGGTCTGTTTGATTGGTATATAAACTCAGTATGTTTGAAATATAAGGATTCATATCGCAGAGGCTCGGATTGGTGTTCTGGACTTAACTGGCTGGGCTAGGCGGAAAGGAGGACCAATCAGAACTCTAAGCTGCTCATACGGGTTTACTCGTCATTGATCCGATCGATAAGTCACTAATCGGCGGTCACAAGTTATAACAATTGGAGACGGGGATGGGATTCGAACCCACGCGGGGAAACCCCAAGTTATAACACCTGTGAAGACTGTTCAACCAAATGAGGCGGAAGTCCGCAACGAACTCCAACTCTTGAAGCACTACAAATCACCGGGTCCAGATGACTTACCTCCAGCCCTTTTTAAAGATGGTGGTGGCTTTCTGGCTAACGAACGGACGACGTTGTTTACAAAGGTCTGGGAACTAGAGAGTATTCCAACGTCAAGGGATGAGTCGATAGTTGTCCCTATCTTTAAAAAGGGTTCACGTCGTTCCTGTAACAACTATCGAGGTATAAGTCTACTTCCGATTGCGTCCAAACTATTAGCTTCTGTCATACTTCGCAGGTTGTTCAAAACCCGAGAATGATTGATCACACCTTCACCCCCCAACAAATGTTAGAACACCGCCATACTTATCAAAGGCCAACAATCGTAGTGTTTCTTGACATCAGGGCTGCCTTCGATTCGTTGGACAGGACTGTTCTCTGGGATTGTCTAGTGAAGAAGGGTGTGCCTGAGAAGTTTGTTAACATCCTAAAGGCCCCATATACAAACACCCCAGGCAGACTGAGGGCATACAACCACCTCTCTCCATTGTCCCATTCAAGCAGTGGGGTTAGGCAGGGTTGCCCAATCTCACCATTCCTCTTCAACTTTGCCATCGACGACATTCTGAAAACAGCTCTGATGGATGTAAGTAATGGTGGTGTGGATCTGTTGCCTGGAGAAAGACTTCTCGACCTTGAGTATGCGGATGATATTGTCTTACTGTGCGAAAATATCCAAGCCATGCAATCCGCACTTAATCAGTTGGCAATCAGTGTCCGTAGGTATGGTATGTGCTTTGCACCTTCGAACTGCAAAGTACTTCTACAAGACTGGCAGGATTCCAATCCTGTACTCACCCTGGATGGTGAGCAGATAGACGTAGTCGAGAAGTTCGTGTATCCGATAGCTGCGTATATACTGGTGGTGGCCTGACTGATGAGATCAATGCACATATAGTGAAAGCCAGAGCGGCTTATGCCAATCTGGGCCACCTTTGGCGCCTTCGTGATGTCAGTCTAGTTGTAAAAGGTCGGATCTACAACGCGTCGGTGAGAGCAGTTTTGCTCTATGCTTGTGAAACCTGGCCTCTCCGATTTGGGGATGTTAGACGACTCTCTGTGTTTGATCATCACTGTCTCCGAAGGATTGCTGACATCCAGTGTCAACACCATGTCAGTAATGCAGAGCTTCGGCATCGTGTGTTCGGGTGCAGAGACGATAATTCAATTGGTGTCACCATCTTGAAACACCGACTTTGGTGGCTTGGACATGTTCTACGAATGTCGTCCCAGAGAATTCCACGTCGTGCATTATTTGCCGACTCTCGGACTGGTTGGAAAAAGCTGAGAGGTGGTCAGTGTATGACATGGTGTTGTGGTATGAAAGAATGCTGCAAAGGGCTGGCTCCTGTTGGTTCTTCATGACTCCCTGACTGGGGTCCTAGAGATGGTGCTACACAGTGGCTAGAGACGTTATCAGATATGGCTCAGAATAGAAGCCAGTGGCGATCCTGCTGTAACCTTCTTTTACTTTCTTTATAGAAAATGGTTGTTTCTTCCTTAACTGAAAGATTTCTTCTGATCGTACCTTTCCGTTTCCCCCATCACTATTATTATTATTACACTACCTTACACTAATCTGTGGTTGTTAATGTTCTTTTTTTCTTATACGCACCTTACCTTCTTTTTCTCTTTCCCACTCTCATTGTTTTGTATGGCGCATATATATTTGGTGCCCCCTTTTACCAATATTTTCGTGTTCAAATAAATAAATAAATAATTCCAAACTGATGGTTTTTGTTAGAATTTGGAATGAAATCTTATTAAAACAGGACATGAATTAGGTAACATCAAAAATAATAGCTCTCATTAAAAATACTATGGATTATTTGTATATTTTATGAAAAATAACGAAACTACGAACATTAGGTAACGAAGCTTTATTTACAATACTTATCATCGGCGTACCTTACGTTTATGTACCCAGCAAATTGACACTTAAGTTTTAAAACTTACACATCTAGAGGAGAATATAATTTACTGGCCAGGTTAAAATGCAACACGAAGTGCATGGAAATGGATTCATGATTATATGAGTTAATATAAGTGATATGTATTCTTAATTATTTTTACATTAACTGAATTCAGTTTCACTACTTTATCACACCTGTTTCAACATGTTTTACCATCGAAAAAAAGATTTACAATTTTTCTATTCATGAGATAAAGTAACTGATTTGATGAACTGCATATAACTCAAGTTATATGATGAAATAGGACTTACAGGAATACGTTTTTCGTTGGCTAGTATTAAATAACGAACCATCTGACCCAAGAAGAATGCACGCGGCGCAAAGTTAAGTTTTTCCATTTCAATATGTGTAATAATTATATCTCGTAAAAATCTCTGTATTTCTAAGATAATATCTGTCTCTAAAATATTAGCAGCAGTTCGTAGAGTCCTACTAGCTCCGAAAGCAGTGCGATATCGAGGTTGTCTTAAACGTGAATGTAACCAATTGCAAGCATCTAAACAGGTATGGATCTGAAAAAAAGAAAATCCAAAGTTGAGTGATTTTAACAACTTTGAGTACACTTTAAAGATGAAACCATTTACAAAATAACTTTCGTTATCATTTCACATTAATGGATCATACTATTTCACTTCGGAGTGAAATGATGGCTGCAGTCAAGAGTCAACTGAATTCGTGAATAACAGAACCACGCACGACAGCAATTAATCAATTGTAAAAGCCAGTTTCAGTATCCTTTTTAACATGGAGGAGTTATCAACGTTGTGAACCATTGGATAAACACGGTTACAATAATGGTTTAGAACAATCAACATCCAAATTGATTTTTTTGTTATATTTCCCGAAAATTGGTCACATAATTACAGAGTTTTACAAACCATTTGATACTAATTTCTTTAGTTTTAACCTATCGATTTTACTGCGTACAAAAAATGCTTCGTTAGTAGTGTTTAAAAGTAAAAAAACCATAATAGTCAGACAATAGTAACGTAGAACCTGGTACGTATGTACATCAGTCACGTTGCCATACCCCATTAGCGCAAGCTGTTGGAATTGTTAGGTCAAATCCCAGAATAGTAAAGTAGTAACAATATAAGTAGAGATAGAAAAGACTATGCATCGAAGATACGGTTCAACAAAATATAAATTAGTGAAGTAAAAACATTACAAAAGTTATGAGGAATTGGGGGAAGACAAAGAATGGATGCATCTGCGCCATTGTGTATAAAAGAAGGGAAACTGATATATATCTGAAGAAAGAAATTCATTGGCTCCTCAGTAACTGTTTTTTTATTTTGTCTGTGAATGGATCATAATTGTTAAGTAAGAATAAGTTTTCTGTCGATAGCTGTTCATTTCAGGGAGTTCAAATCAATAATTTGGATTACGTGAGTACATGTTACAAAACGACTTCAACTTCAAACAACACAACCGATCAGATAGTCATAAACCGACATTCACAGCTTCAGTTATTGAAAGTCTTCACAATACAAATTAGATAAGTTCGAACGAATAACCATAACTGTAAAATAAAAATACTCCCGTGAAATGATATTATGTTTACGATAGTTGTCAATGAAGAAAACTCGTTTACTGCATTCTTCTATTACTTAGAGACTGAATACAATTTATGAAAACTTTACCTAGAGTTATTACCTTTATTCAATCCATCAAAAAAAGTATTTGAAGCATTTGCAAATGAACATGGTAAGGGATCGAACCAAAGACGAAAGTGAATTGAACTCGTTCCTCATTTAACTATACTCTCACTATTTATAGTGACTGCAATTTACAAATGTGTGGCATCGCGGGTTAAATAAATGTACCTTGTTCTCAGGAGAATATTTGCTTACATACCCACAATTTCGCATTAGACAAAACTTAAGTATCTTACTAAAGTTAGAATACAAAGACATTAGCACCTACGTAAATGTAGGACGGTAAACAATCTCAAGGTAGGTAATTAGTGAGAAAACATGTATCACAACTCCTACATTTACATATAAAAATAAAGTAAAGGAGACAATACGATAACTACCAATAATTATTTAGTGATCGGCAGAAATTAATAACCACATTTATTTATCAAATCGGCACTTGATACATTTCAAATGTATTGAAACCTTCTATAAATGAGTGAAATAATTTCTATCAAACCTTCTTCATTCTTAAGACAACTTTCTTAGTGCTGTGTACATTCTGCTGCGTCACGCTAAGCAGACGAAGTGACGGCACATTAAGTAGAAGCGTGTATAGAAGAAACCCCTCTTCATGCCAATATACTCACTTCTGCAGTTTCACACCCATCCGGTACAAGAGGAATTTGGTCAGATGTCTCACTAGCAGAGCAAAAAAGATCTGTACAGTAGACACTCTAAGTCAGGAACTTGAATTTATCAACAACTCACTGACCGAGATCGGCTACCCCAGCGCGTTCATCAAGAAATACATGCAGGATATAATAAAGAAGTCGGAGATTTCGACTGTTTGTAAGAAACCTTTATACATGTAAGTGCAGTTCAACGGGGATGTGGCTAATGACACTCTGAAATATAGGTTAACCAAAGTAATCACCAAGACATTCTACGCAGCCAATCTTGCGTTGACCTTCTCTTGTCGACCAGCGATGTCTACTCAAACGAAGGATAAGTTACCTGAGTTGGCCTCTTCCATGTGCATTTACAAATTCAGCTGCTCCTGTGGAGATAGCTATATAGGGCGTACTACCAGGCAACTTAACCAACGAATGAGTGAACATCTACCAACTTGTAAATAAAAATAATATATTTGTAATATCCCAATGAGTAGAAAATTGGATTTTCTGACGTTTCGTGGCTTAGTGTAAGTCACTTCTTCAGAGAATAAATAACCAACTTGGTACATAAAGGGTCAGAGAAAAACTATTCGCAGTTCTATACTAGCACATCTTATTGATAGCAGTCATGCAGTAGAGAAATCGAAATCATTTCGAGTTATCTATCGTATACCTCCATCATTTCCCGACGGAGTCCGTTCCCGTCTCCTATATATAGCTGAAGCCATTGGAATTCGTACATATAACCCCAATCTATGTGTACAGAAGAAATACGTGACTCCCCTATCCCTTCCATGGCCAGTTATAACTTAACTAACAATTTTTTTTTATTATTTATTATTTTTATTTTATTTTAAAATTTTATTATTATCATTATTTATTTTATTCTATCTGTGTTATTGTTAACCTTATTTCCACATCCATTATTTGCTTGTCATTATCCGCCTCTTTGTATTCTTCACTATCTAATTATTTACACACATCATATTACGTAATGATTTTTAAGGTTTTGTGATTACTATTCCTAGTCTATTTACCCATGTTTATTTGACCTTCTATTTCCAACGATTAACTATTGATAAGAGTTTTGTTATTGTAGTTTATTATTCTTACCACTATCTGTTCACCTGCCTTCGTACTATCAACTTGTACTTTTACCTATTTTATGTGTAGTGACTTATTCTATTTCATTGTGATTATTGACTCATATTGCCTTGATTGGTTTAAAATTTTCGTATAAATATTCATGTATATTAGAGTAAAGCCTGATGACGATCTAATTGAAAACAATTGTTCGTTTATATGTGTTGTTCTAATTTTCACAATGGGAATCTTTAATATTCAATTATTTCAACCCATAAACTGTTATTATGTCTCATTTTTTTTCATACGCATCACTAATTAATTCCCTATTGCTCCGTTTTTATATTACTTCTGATCAAACCGTACAAACATCGCAATTTTCTATTTGTATTGCTGTAGGTCAGATATTCGAGTTATATTACTCCACGAGTTTTTAGCCACGACTGAAAAAAGAATTAATCTTCTTTATGGGTTCGTCTTCTGATTAGACACTGGGTTGGAAGGAGCTCCAGGACTAACAGGAGTTCAGATTTTGACAATTGTTCATTAATCACTAATCGAACTAGCTAATACAACACAATAACGACCTGTTCACAGAGGCCCCAATGTAACTCAAGAACATTTTTCTTTTGAAGGTACTTTATGTATTTCAACACCTAAATATTGATACAAGAGGGCACCAAATATATATGCGCTACACAATATTTGTGTGTGTGTGTGAGCTGTGATACTGCCCGGGTTCCCAGAACAAAGCAGGTGGTCTTCCTAGAGGGTCACACTCCGTGCCTTTGACCTAAAGGTCTAATCCACAATGCAGTGGAGCATGGTGAGGAGATGCAGTCCCATTGTAGCCGGTGACCAACAACTGGTTTATACGCCATTTGTTCCCTCATGGATACTGGAGCCTATGTGCACCATTGGTTTTGAATCCGGTTAAAGCGCCGGACGTTCGCTTTTGGTCCTCTCATTTTTGTAAACAACACTCCCGCCTCAAGAAGGCAGTGAGTAGGACTTCCCTGGCAAAGGCTTGTTACGCGTGGCCGCGTGAGAGCATTTCGAGTTGGAGGGCGGGCCCACCCCACTCTCAGCCATACCAGGGCATTTAGGGGCCTTTTGAAGGTACAACAAACAGTGACAGGTGTGGCGTCATTAACTTAACGGATGCATAAGGAGAAAAAGTTGTATCATCTTTTCAACTTCAAATCAATTAGTCCCAGGACTTAAGATGTATCAGAGAAAAATCCTTTTTCTTTTGGGACAAATAAAAGCATTGTATCATCAGAAGTTCACGGAAATTCGGCCGAAATTCTTCTAGAAAAATTACAGACAGATAAGCTGAATCAGTCTGGTTTTCTATTTTCCACATAAATAATTGATACAATCACTAATATCACTAATGCATTTTATTAAAAGATGAGAAATAAATGTATGACGGAAGAACATATAAGTCAATTCTTAAATGGGCCGTCAGTAAGCAGTGATACAGAAGATGCAGTAGTTGTATTTTATTCTTCCCAGTGATTCAGTGCGGCCGATTTCAAAACCAAGCTCCAGTTATAACTACATTGAAGACAGAAAATATAACTGGCAAGTTGGAAGTCCGCAACAGAATGAGGTCTCATCAGATGTTCATAAAGTTCCAGTTGGAACAATCCTGTAACAGAATAATTGGCTACATTTTAATAGTCCAAAGACCACACAGCATGCAGACGCAGGAACTATAGATAGAACCCTAACTGAGAACATATAGTTCTATTGTATGGAGACATTTGTCAGAATATACACCAAATACAATACTATAACCATGGCTAATGTCTGTAGGAAACGAAAAACTTACAATGTGGTGTCATATGCCGAAAAATTCCAGATTACAAAGAATTTAGTACTATTATAACGAGATCTTATACTCTTACTTAGAGGAGGAGACTAACGTTGGCTCCAAATGACTTAATTTGGAGGTATAAAGAAGCTTGTATTAAGGCTATTTCTTCGGCCTCAAAACTTAGCCCATAGTATGCTGAAAGGTTGGCAAAATATGTAAAACAAGTATCAAATGAATCAACTTACATTATATTCCAAACATAATTTAAGGCTAGGAACAAAGTTAGCCCAAACAGATTCTTCTGTCCCAATAAGCTGCAATAGTTCCTGGTCAGAAGTAATGTTCATTGCTTTAAACAATATGGCAATAGGGACATCCACGATGAAGGAATTATGAGAAAGGTAAAATTTATCATCTTTCGTAACGATGTTAGTCTTAGATTTCGTTTGAGCAGAGGACGATGTCACAGAACACACTAATCCACGTTTACTATCTTCTTCAATGATCAGACGATTCTTGGAAGTTTGTTCCTGCATGAGAACTACTTTTTCAGTACCACCAATAATGAAGTAACCGCCAGGATCCAATGGACATTCTTTAAGTCGCATAAGCTCCGAAGGACTTTTACCTAATTCATTTAATGGACATAAAAATGATAGCTTGTAGATAAGTACCCCCATAAGTAGTAGATAAACTAAAAATTTTGAGAAATTATGGATTTTGAATAGTTAAAAGTAATTTGTTGAGCTAAAAATGAATAGTTGTGACTGGCTAACATGTACTAGAAAATTATGAATCCTTGCATAGAATCCCGGAAATTAAGCAACTCAGTGGCTTGAGACGTAATTAGATATTTGGTCAGAATAAAGGCCTGTATTGATTCTACTACAATACTGTACTTTTTATAAAGAGAGGTTTATCTTTGAGAAATAAATTTTATCTTCGTTGAATTTATGCAGAAACTCAAGACTAATATTGTTATATCCTAATGAAGATTAAATTACGAGCAACTTCTGAGACCTTTTAATGGACAAATATTATCTATATATTCTTATGTTATAACTTTTCAGTAATTAGATTGTGTATATTTATATTCATCTTATTATAAGCTTTATTTTGACCTATAGATTCTTATTGTACGATTTACTGTTCCTAAATTATACTCAGTTTATTAATTATTGTCTCCCACGTTCACAGCTACTTTTTGGCTTTATTGTGTATGAATGTTATTTCCTATTTTATGGTGCGTTGAGGTCTGTTTGGTTGATGTATAAACCCAGCATGTCTGAAATAAATGATTCACATAGTGGAGGCTGTTGTTGGCATTCTCGACTCGGCTGGACGTGCTAGGCGAGCAACGGACCCCTAGCTTTCTTCCAACCTACTCCTACACCAGAAAACATCGAACGTCGAGGCAGTCGGTGGTTGGGCATACGTAACACATGTCCAAACCATCTCAACTGATGAAGTCTCATTACTTCATCATTTGACTTGCTACCCTAACCTAGTACTCGTTTCCTAACAACTACATTACTTACTCGATGGTCCCAGGATATGCAAGCACTGCTTCCAAGACACCCATGATCGAATACTAGTAACCTACGAATATCCTCTACTTTTGCCGGCCATGTTTCACTGCCATAAAGTAAGACGGAACGAACTGCTGAGCAATAAATACGTCCTTTGGTTGATGGACGGATATCTCGCCTACGCCATAAATGACGCAAGTTGGCAAAAGCTAGTCGAGCCTTCTGTATCCGTGCTGAGATTTCGTCAAACATCAGACCACAAAGGCTGATGAGACTCTCAAGATAAGTGAAGCGGTCGACCGTAACTACATAAATACATTAGCTTTTTGTGGTATAAAGCACATGATCACCATTAAAAGACGCTGTTTCATTTTTTTAAAAAAGCATTATTCACTAGGTTCTCCTAAAAATACTTTACAAATTCCCAGATCAATTTCAAAAGCATTAACACTTAGGTACTGCAAATAGAGTAGATACAAGACTAAGTAGTGTGACAAATGAAAGTATTGATATATGTTTATACTAGATGTAACTACTAGTATGGAAGATTAACACGAACGAAACATTAAAGAGAACCTAGGAGGATTGAAAAAATTCACATAAATGTTCGTAACCTATCACGGAGGCTTACCATTTAGTACACATATGGAGCTTTTTAGCATGATTGGCATGCGACCAATAAGGACACCTTTTTTCGATACTACTTCGTTCTGTCTAACAAACGTAACGTCAACAAGAATTTCGCCAGCATATGTTAGGTCACGGAGTCTGCAGTCATGAGGAGTAACACGGCTGGCAACAACCCCTCCATCATTTACTGTTGGAGGTTTGATATATATGTCATTATACTCTAACCACCAATTGGCTTCTGGAACACTGACACGACTGTTTGCTCGGACAATATTTTTTATTTCTGTTTGAATAAAATGATTGAAGGAGTCGATGTGAAGTTTAACCAATCCCTTTGAGGCCAGAAATGATGGAACAAGATAATGTTTTTGATTCATAATTTAAATGATGAAATAGAAGATTATAACAACAGACCAGGAAACTAATGAATGACAATTCTCGAAGAACGATAGTTGAGATAACTTGTGTTCAGTGAGATGAGCATGTAGAGCAACCGCTGGCCTAAAAAACAATCATCATGGAAAGGTTTGTAAAATCATGCCAATAAGGGAAATAAATCCCGACTTAACTCATAACCTGATCCCTATGTACATTTTCCAGTAAACTCTATGAAAACCATAAAAAATTAATCGTTGGATTGATCATACAGTGTTGCACGTAAATATAGCTTACATATTTCAACATAGTACATGAAGAGTAAGTCTGATAAAAAAAACCGTATTTTTTCAAAATCCTCAATGCACTCACTTGACTAAACTAAAGAATTCAGAAGTAGTTACTTTATAACTTCGAAATGTAGTTTGCTTTAGCTCATGAGAGTATGCATAAATGTCTTACCAAAAAATTAGCTTCCTTTTTTTAAAATTTTAGGTGGCTGCTCAGGAGAAAACTTTCGAGTGAGTTGATATCAGGCATAAGACCATTAGGCAGAATAATAAGTTTCCTTTGTAGTAGAATTACATGATTACGTACAAAATGTCTTTTAATCATGTTTATTCTTGTAACTAGTGTCTTGTAAGTTATTTAGGCACCAACGAAATTAAGACGTGAGTAACGCGCTTAATTCATGTCTGACATGCCTTTAGGATCCTGAGGGTACGTGTGGCATACGAAGTTATTTTACTCACTGGTTATCACGACATTTCATTCCCCAACGCTGCTTTACTTCCTTCTGGAGTAGATATCTTAGTTAAAAACTTGAAGGGTAATTCTTTAAAGATGTAATGTGTTTTAGCCCAAGTATTCGGGTAGTAACTTGTCCCACATATAAGTAAGATGATCACTGCTAACGAAGAAATATTAAACCCATCCCGCCTAGTTGAACCTTTATTGTGTTATGCTCCGATTCACTATTTATTTAGACACAAACATTGGTACAAGGAGGCACCAAATATATATGCGTCACACTTCGTTATTTGTGTGAAGGCTGGAATATTACCCGGGCACCTGGATCGAGACAGATGGTTTTCTTAGTAGGTCACATTCCAAGTCTTTGACCTACTGGTCTAATCCATGAGGCAGTGCAGCAACCTTCCCTCAGGATTCTGGAGCCCATGTACACCATTGGTTTGGAATCACAGTTTTCCAACTTCCCTAGGTGGATCCTCTATATCCACCAACCTGTTTGAAACACAGGACATTCGCTTTTTTTCCTCTCGATCTTGTTAAACAACACCTCTGCAGCGAGAAGGCAATGAGTAGGACTTCCCTGGTCGTGGCCGTATGTACGTGGCCATGTGAGAGCATTTCGAGAGGACTCTCCCAATCCTCGGGCTGTACCAGGGCATTTGAGGGCAACGACAAACACTTCCTACGGTTGACTAGATCCACTGTTAAAATAAGAAAATTGAAACAGATAGGAAGGTTTAATTGCAAAATCAAGGGTATATATACATCCCTCGTTCTGAATCAGACAAAAACATGTAGGGCAAGAACTTGACCTGGTACATAATCAACTTCTAGAGCCGCGTTTATGATCTCCTACCTAACATCTGACCATGTGATAAAATGTGAAGTGTCTGGCTTTTTCACGCGTACGTAACATATTTAAACTCGTCCGGACTGTCAATCTCCTGACGTCGTTCTATTCACAGTCTTGACGCTATTCTACTAGGTTTTTATATAAAGACATATTGCAGTAATCCCCCCGGAAAATCGCCTTCTTTAATTTGGGAATCATCACTATCCATCCGAACTAAATTTATAAGTATTTTATCATGAGCAAACTTATTTTACTTCGGGTTCGAATTGTTATTTTCATTGTTAGTAATTTTACTTAACTCACTTGGCAACTTGTCTTTGCTGAAAATTCTACTCCGTTTAAGTGATCATTTTTCAGCACCATAACTGATGCGAAATCTGATAGTTCTCGGAAGCATGCGTACAATCCAAAGTAAACATTTATCACATCCACAGTTTTATGATCAGACAAAATCTACTCCATATGTCTGCTACAACTCACGGACCAACACTGGGAATTCTAGTCAAGTAATCAAAACCAGTTCATTTAACGTAAGCTTATCCAGAGACCCTGTGGCACAGACTTGCAATCTAGTTGCGTTCAGTGATGCACTAAGCGTCAAAGGAGAAGCATTATTCAACCGGCCATACCAGGGTATTTGGGGGCTTTCAAACAAGCTAATATTTTATTCAGCCTGACTTCTAAAACTGAACCACGTCTCATAAAGACCTCCGCAGTTCACAAAGCAGGTATAGCTATTATGTGTTTATAAACTGGCTGAGAGCTGTGGGAATTACGCCAATTTCACATTCGAGTAGTTTAAATATGGTAGGTAACTAAAGAGCAGCTAGAGAACAATTACACTATACCATAAATAAGTTTGCCCATCAATCTAGTAACCTGGACTGAGATAGAAAGACGGTTTTGTTTTTAACCGAAACAGACAATAACAATTGCTAATACCAGTTTACTCGATGGGTCAGGATAGTCTTCTGGTGTTACCTATCGCTCCAGTATCCTGAAGGAACAAATGGCGTATAAACCAATTGTTGGTCACCGGCTACAATGGGACTGCATCTCCTCACCATGCTCCACTGCACTGTGGATTAGACCTTTAGGTCAAAGGCACGGAGTGTGACCTCCTAGGAAGACCACCTGCTTTGTTCTGGGAACCCGGGCAGTGTCACAGACCACACACAAATCAAATAAAAGGACTATATTTACTGAAAATACTATTCACGTTTCGATTAAAAGTCAAACAATTCAAATCATTATTATTTTTACGTCACTTATTCACTCTCTTTTATTCCCGCTCTATGTATCCTTATTTTTCGACTTATACAGCAGCTCGCTTATGGTGGAAACTCGGTTCTATCTAAACGCTCTCGAGCCACTGCCTGATTGAAAATTGTATGCTACCACTAAATACGAATACTGAAGCAGTTTTTATGAAACCACGTGCACCATTCAAACTGGCTGCCTTCAACGTTCGCACACTTATGCAGGTCGGACAACAGATAGGGCTAGCTATGTCTTTGGAAAGTCTTAATATCGACGTCTGTTGTCTATCCGAGACCCCTACTCAAGACTCTGGTGAAGTACTACAAATTCGCTCTCCATCTGTCGCTTCAAAAAGCTTCTTTTACGTGCGTTTATCCGGGGACCCTGTAGCATCTTGGTCTAGTTTTTCTGGCGTTGGTGTCGCACTAAGCGCTAGAGCTGGGGCAGCACTAATCGATTGGATCCTCGTTAACAGTCGGTTATGTGCTGTTAGATTAGAAAGTTCCATTAGTCACTGCTTCCCACATTCACAGCCACATTTGGCCAAATTTTGTACAAATGTTATTTTCTACTTTATGCTACGTTGTGGTCTGTTTGATTGGTATATAAACTCAGTATGTTTGAAATATAAGGATTCATATCGCAGAGGCTCGGATTGGTGTTCTGGACTTAACTGGCTGGGCTAGGCGGAAAGGAGGACCAATCAGAACTCTAAGCTGCTCATACGGGTTTACTCGTCATTGATCCGATCGATAAGTCACTAATCGGCGGTCACAAGTTATAACAATTGGAGACGGGGATGGGATTCGAACCCACGCGGGGAAACCCCAAGTTATAACACCTGTGAAGACTGTTCAACCAAATGAGGCGGAAGTCCGCAACGAACTCCAACTCTTGAAGCACTACAAATCACCGGGTCCAGATGACTTACCTCCAGCCCTTTTTAAAGATGGTGGTGGCTTTCTGGCTAACGAACGGACGACGTTGTTTACAAAGGTCTGGGAACTAGAGAGTATTCCAACGTCAAGGGATGAGTCGATAGTTGTCCCTATCTTTAAAAAGGGTTCACGTCGTTCCTGTAACAACTATCGAGGTATAAGTCTACTTCCGATTGCGTCCAAACTATTAGCTTCTGTCATACTTCGCAGGTTGTTCAAAACCCGAGAATGATTGATCACACCTTCACCCCCCAACAAATGTTAGAACACCGCCATACTTATCAAAGGCCAACAATCGTAGTGTTTCTTGACATCAGGGCTGCCTTCGATTCGTTGGACAGGACTGTTCTCTGGGATTGTCTAGTGAAGAAGGGTGTGCCTGAGAAGTTTGTTAACATCCTAAAGGCCCCATATACAAACACCCCAGGCAGACTGAGGGCATACAACCACCTCTCTCCATTGTCCCATTCAAGCAGTGGGGTTAGGCAGGGTTGCCCAATCTCACCATTCCTCTTCAACTTTGCCATCGACGACATTCTGAAAACAGCTCTGATGGATGTAAGTAATGGTGGTGTGGATCTGTTGCCTGGAGAAAGACTTCTCGACCTTGAGTATGCGGATGATATTGTCTTACTGTGCGAAAATATCCAAGCCATGCAATCCGCACTTAATCAGTTGGCAATCAGTGTCCGTAGGTATGGTATGTGCTTTGCACCTTCGAACTGCAAAGTACTTCTACAAGACTGGCAGGATTCCAATCCTGTACTCACCCTGGATGGTGAGCAGATAGACGTAGTCGAGAAGTTCGTGTATCCGATAGCTGCGTATATACTGGTGGTGGCCTGACTGATGAGATCAATGCACGTATAGTGAAAGCCAGAGCGGCTTATGCCAATCTGGGCCATCTTTGGCGCCTTCGTGATGTCAGTCTAGTTGTAAAAGGTCGGATCTACAACGCGTCGGTGAGAGCAGTTTTGCTTTATGCTTGTGAAACCTGGCCTCTCCGATTTGGGGATGTTAGACGACTCTCTGTGTTTGATCATCGCTGTCTCCGAAGGATTGCTGACATCCAGTGTCAACACCATGTCAGTAATGCAGAGCTTCGGCATCGTGTGTTCGGGTGCAGAGACGATAATTCAATTGGTGTCACCATCTTGAAACACCGACTTTGGTGGCTTGGACATGTTCTACGAATGTC